AATTATAATATAAAAAAAGGCATACTTGTATTATTATAATGGAAGGATTTGTGATATCACATAAGTAAAAGTTCAAAATAAGCCATCCTCATATGACCATAGCAATAACATAGTTACAAAAATGACAATGCTATTTAAAATAACTTCATATGCTTCTTAACTCACTATCTAATAATAGTTAAGAAAGAATATTTGTAACATACTCCTAATGAATTTCTTTCAATCTTTCTCTTTCTCTCTAACTACTTCGTTGTAGTATTTTGGAAATTTATTTAGATCAAAAGGCATATCTCCATTTCTTTGTTTCCCAGTTATGTTTGACCCATCAAGACAACTAGGAATACCATCAAATTCAACTTCCTCCTTTTCTGGCAACTTGTTCAAATCAAACTTCATGACATGTTCCTCTAGTTTGGAGACCTCGTTTGGCATCTCATTCAAATCAGTGTTCTAAATGCTTCATCATGGTCAAGAAAGTCTTCAACAATGGCATTGTCATGATTAAGAGAGTCTTCGACAATTGCATCATATGGGTTAAGAGAGTTTGCAACATAGTGGTGCAAATGAGGCAACACATTATCATGGTGAGGTGATTTTTCCTTCACTGCTAAACTAGAGTCTATGTGCCTCAAACTGGAGTTTAAACCAAAAGAAAAAATAAATGGAGTTTACATATATCGTTAAAGAAGGAAAAATAAATGAATGAATGTGTGCTTTCAAACTTGTAGTTTGTGTTCCAAGAAGACATTCAAACTTTCAAAGATGAAGGGGTGACTGTGTGTTTTCCAATTGCAAGCACTTTACATTGTGAACTATGACTATTATGAAAAGTAAGAAAAATATAATGAATACTAATCAAGTCACACAAGAAAACAAGTTAATAAATACAAGGGTAAAATAGGAAACAAATTTGAAACTTACTAAGTGTCTTATATTTTGAACTAAGATGAGCTGGAGCAAAATGCCTTATATTTTGGATCGAAGGGAATATTTCAAACATGTATGCTTTTCAAATTAATTATCTAGTTACAAGGACTTTATTTCATGCCATGATTTAATATTTTTAGGTAAAGGTTTTAAGGTTTGAAGAAGGACACATGAGGCATATATTATAAAGTAGTTATTTGCTTGCTTTATTTTGTGCCTGTGATTTGCATATTTCCATTTAGGGCTCACTTACTTGATTTTTTTGATATCATGATTTGGATTTGCTTCAACTAGATTAGCTTTAGCCATCATGAACCATTGGCTTAGTGCAAAATTGTGGAGTCTAATTATATCTATAGACGTATGATTGTGTTTAAACTCTTCTTTATCATTTTCCCTAGAGCTTTTGAATTTACATAATTAATAGATAACATATAAAAGAAGAAAAAAGATTGAGAAAAAAAATCAAACACAAATAAGAAAAGAGATATTAGGAATAGAATACAAAGTAATTTGCATGTGAATCTTTCAAGGGGAAAAATTGCTTAGTAATGAATTCCCTACACAAAACCTTGAAAAAAAAAAACAAACTTGAATAAAAAAGATGCAACAACATAAATCTTGTAAATTAACAAGATGAATCAAACACTACCACTCTTTTGCTTTAATGAAATCCCTACCTCTAATGCTTTAACTACTTAGTGTATCAATTTTTCATCAGCCACATTTAAACAAACTTCTAACTTTCCAACTGAAAAAAAGAATAGCTCCAGTGTAACATCAAGGTTAATTATAAGGACTAGATTTTAATTATAGCAAACTTCTAACTTTCATCAGCTTTGGATTTTAATTCTTAAATTATAAGGACTAATCAAGGTTAATTAAATAAAAAAATTGAGTTTTAACTGTTAGAGGATGGCTAATTAACCAATTGAATATAATTACAACATTTTGATCAGTACAAAAGAGTTAAGCCATTGGGCTTAAATTAGAGAGCAAAAATGGATTGGCTTCTTTGTGCTATACATCACGTGGATGGTCAAAAATTTTGAATATCAACAGCATGTTCGTAAGCTCTTGATAGAAAGGAAAAAGGAAAGAAAAATGAGAAGAACAAAGGAGGAGGAGTCTAGGTTTGCTAAGGCATGGAGGTATTGTCATTTGGAAGGGATTAAGAGCTTCTAAACCTTAAGGTAAGCCTATCCTACTATTCCTCTCCCTCTCTGCTATATTTTTGAGTCGGGGTTTAGTGTAGGGAGTGAGACTTTTAGACCTAAGGTTATGGATCTAAACCCATTAGTCTAAGTGAGGCTAATAGGAATTGTTTCAAGTGTTTTACATCTAGTCAGAAGTTTCTATAAGGTTGCAAGGTTGGTTTATCCATTTTAGATAAACCTTGGGCCTCTAAAGGATGATTTTGAATTATTGAGTGATATATTAGTGATTATTTGAGTTAATGTGAGCTAAATGAAATTAATGGGAGTTAAATAATTTATTGGATGTGAGACTGAGTTTGTAGTTAGGACATTGGGCTATTAAAGTAGGAAATTAGAAATTAGAAGTGTTGTTATTGATTATTATTAGTGATGGGAGTTAATGCTAATTATATAGGCTAATCTCGTGAAGCACGGAGGAGCTTGAGTTTAGCTCAGAAGTAAGTGGTACTTGAGAGTAACTTTTGAATCCCAAAGGTTTAAGGTAACTAGGGGGCTCTATTACGTGTTATTATTTGTTAATTAATTGTATCCTCAAAGGTTTGAGGTACTAGGGGACTCTATCATATGTTATTGCTTGGAAATTAATTATAAGTATTTGTAAAATTTTAAAAATATTTTTTTATATATCAAAATGTAAGTATGTTGTTTGTTTTAAAATATCTAAGTGGGGCTTTGTACATTAATGTAATTGTAAAATATGAAAATGAGTATTTCAACTTTTGAATTAGGTAAATGTTGATGAATATGAACATAATGATGATAACTTTGAGATATGCTGTGATTTAGCATCTAATAAGTTGCATGATCATAATGATGATGAGAGCTTGCTTTTATGGAGTAGTGAATTTGTGCCATTCTGGATGACATCGACACCATCAAGTCCTAGTGTTTGGTTTTCTATATTACTCTTAAACCCCACTTAATGAAGTAGGCAATAGAGTCTTGTGACACTTTTGTGTTCAATATAGGAGAATCCATGATCTGAGACTAAGTGTGTGGTCCTAGTTAGGTTACCTCTCATGATTAGAGATGTTAGACTAATCTAATTATATGGGTTTAGCTCTTATTTATTTTGTAACCTACTGATTTAGTTGGTGGTAATGAAGGTTGGGAGTAAATGGTTGATCATGCATTGCATTGAAATGTGATTAATGATGTTAAGTTGTTTTCTATTTGTCCACTTTGTATGCCTATTGTTATTTGATTTGTATGAACATATTTTATATTACTTAATTATTGAGAAGTTATAATTACCTCATATTTAATATTTTACAAGTGTTAACTCTAATTTGGATGATGAAAAAACATGTTAGGCTTAGGAATTTGGATTTCCTATTGTATAGCCTTGAGTTTCTTTTACTTTATGTGTAATGAATATGATAATACCAATTAAGATAATTATTTTGAGTACTTGCACTTTTGCATGCCTTTATGGTTGGATGTTGGTATTTTGTGCCATAAGTCAAGTTGTATTAGTTGCTAATGTTTAATCGGGATTAAAATATTGATGCAGGTATGTTTAATAATATTTACAATAATGTAAATAATTATTTTAGTGATTGGTTGATAATTTACCTCCCCCTTGCTTTTTGATGAAAATGAGGTTGAGGAGTGAAATTGAATTCTAGATTGTATTTATGTGTTGTAGTGTGTAACACAAGTCATATTAGATATTTTGAGTTTGGTTTAGGTGATTGTGTGAGCTTTTGGCATTTTGAGTGGGATTTTGGACACCCTAATTATGTGAATGTGGAAAAAGTGATTAGTTTATGTTTGAGTGCCAAACTCTTGGATATGAAAGAATTTGGAAATAACATCAATGTAATTAACTAGTTTATTGAATAAGTCTTTTGTAGATACCTAAATCACCTAAAACAAACTTCAGATGGAGATTTGGGTTGCACAATAAATTTGCCATCAAATCTGTTCTATGACAACAGAGTGCTATCATTTTTATGTAGTCGGTCATGATGGATGGCCCCTTCACTGTAGCGCATTGCATGGAGACTTGCCATAATAGACAGCCTTTGTGTCATTAGCCACAACGGATTCACCATTGGTTATGGTAGACAACACTAATTGTTGAAAAATAATTTTTTTAAATTATATTTTCAATGGTTTTAATTATAAAAAAGTATCCTATGCCTACATATGCTTATAAGTCTGGTTTGTTTTGGCATAAACTTCATATGCTTTAAATTGTAAAATTTAGGGTCCCATTATAAAGAAACGTTTTTATTTTCCATGGTTAAGTTAAGGATGCTTAATTCTTAATTACCATGGTAATGCATGATTGATTTGGGTTAAATTCTTAATTATCATGGTAATGCATGATTGATTTGGGTTAAGTGGTAAAATTGGGTGATATTACATCCAACCTTAAAGTACAGAAAAACTTGGGAATTCGAAAAATTGAAGAGGAATAAGAAATGGGATTTGGCATTAGTTCTTTGCTTTTGCTTCTGGGCTTCATTGTAAAACCAGGCGTTCTGTGTGGTTCATCGACCTCCAGTTCTTTGATTTTGCTTCGTCAAACTTGGCATTCAAGTTTTCTAGATAAGGTCCATATTAGGTTTTTTTTTTTTTTTTTATTTTGCCTTTTGAATTTTTAATCAATTGCCAAGGTTGTGCTGATTTGAATGCCACGTAAACAAATAAAGACTGACATGAGTTAAACTTGAAGGATTAAGGGGTGATTAAGTTAAAAATTAAAGGATTAAATGATTAATTAATTATTAATAATATTAATAATTAATAATTATTAAATTAAATTAAACCAAGACTCGTGTGTACGAGAACGGAAGGGTATATATGTAATAAAACAGCCGAAGTCCGCGAAGTCAAATTTTGGTCGGATTGTCCTGCGCAGCTGCCCTGACTGCGTTATAGTTTGATGCAAAGCAGCGAAGGTGATGAATCACAAACTTGATTAGCTAGGGTCTGAATTCCAAAGACCAAACCTCATTTTGCAACAATGGCAAAATCGGATACTCCAAAACCCAACTCTGCCAAAGTTCACCCCTCTAATGAGTCCGAGGTTGATCCCAATTCCTACGCCCTGGAGAAGTTCAGACTTTACGAAACCAGAGCGGTAAGTGATGAATTCTGTTTGGGTGCTTAGAAAATGCTGGAACGGCAATATTAGAAAACATGATAAATGGTTTAATTCAATGGGTCGTTGTTTGCTTCATTGCTCTCCTTGCTGGATAGAGTTGGGAATTATGCGTTTTTATTTTCTGGATGTTCATTTCATGGGCATTGATGAGTTTATGATCATGGGTTTTATAAGCAGAGATTTTACTTGATCGGGAGTGATCGTAACAAAAGGTTTTTCCGAGTCTTGAAAATTGATCGATCAGAGCCCTCCGATCTCAGTATTAGTGAAGACCCCGTGGTATATACCCCTCAGGAAATCAAGAACCTGCTACAGCGAATCGGAGAAGGCAATAAGGCCACTGGGGGGCTGACATTTGTTACAAAGGTTTTTGGGATTGCAGGTCAGCATCTGCATGAAGTACATTGGTCTGCGTGATATTATTATTTTATGGGTTTTGGGGGCTAAATGGTTTTATTTTATTATCTGCAGGCTGCATCAAGTTTCTGGAATCATATTATTTGATTCTGGTTACCAAGCGCAGGCAAATAGGTTGTATATGTGGTCACGCAATATATAGCATAGAGGAGAGCCAATTGATAACAGTACCACATGTCACAATTCAATCTGATATAGCTCACTCTAGAACTGAGCTGAGGTAATGTTTTTTGCCCCTTCTATTGTTTTGTCTTTCACTGTGTTGATCCCCTGGAGGAATTGTTCGTGAACTATATTTAGCAAACAAGACTAGAGAAATGTCTTAGTTGGGTTCCTTTTCATTCTTATCTATTGATTTCTGTAGTTACAGGGTTAATCTAGATATAATATGTTGGATGCAAACGTGTACTGTATTTGTTTGCTTCAAGGTTCTTGTACTCTGAATTTGTTAGTTAAATTTGTGACGAATTTTTACATACATTTGTTGGTCATACTGCTTAATAGCACTTCTGATTTGAAGTTAGAAGTACTTGGAGTATTCATTGTTTCAGTGCTTTTTATGCAATAGTTATAATTAGAGTGATTGCCAACTGCTGCAATTTTAGCCTGTTAAACTTATCATTATTGTTTTGCTGTTTACCTGTGAGAATTTACGGTGACTTGCCCATGTTTCTTGAGCCATTTCAAATGCAAAGTGAAGGATGAAGGATATACTAAAACTAGGTTATTGTGATCAGATCTATGGACAGGGTCCCAATTATGCTTTATTTTTATCTGTGCTCGTATGATATGTTTTTTGGGAGCAAATTTGAAAATTGAAATGATAGACTTCTGCTCTTGCCTTGTGCCTTTGTGGGATATATGTGTCTTCTCAGCATTTCTATGTCAAGGAAAGGCCATATCATCTCAATCGACTTTTTTTTTGGATTATTTTTCTTTGGCTAGGCATCTAGAATTGTATTTTTGGCTTCCCTTTGGTGTTTGGTTCATGGTCTCTTTAAATTGGTGTTTGGCTTGAATTTAGTATGAGATTTGGCTGCTTTACTTTTTGTTTTGCTTTCTTCTTCGCAAGAAGAGGTCTGATGCCCCTACCTTTTATTGCCTTTTCTTCTTAATAATATATTTTCTCAAAGAAATTTGAAAACATGTTTGTGGCACAAGTGGCAGCCACCTTATTCAATCTAAATAACTGCATAGCTCATTGCAGTCGATTGTGAAGGAAAGAAGTAATGTAAAATGGATATGTGGTGATGAATCAAAGTTTATGTTAATGAAACTTCAAACCTTCATTTATAGTATACTTTTTTCTTTGCAAAGCTCAATATTCCATATATAGTTATCAGTATGGTTTATTTGTTAGACATATAATTGATGATCTTTCTTTACTCTTGCTCTTAATGTGGAAGCAGAAGCCATCAGATCTAGCAATTTAAATGAAAATCAATTTTGATTTACAATTAACTTTTTAACAGTAAATGCTTGCCTGCAAGGAAACTTAAGCTTACATCCTCTTTCTAGCAGGTACAAAAAACTTTTATCGAGTGTTGACTTGACAAAGGATTTTTTCTATAGTTATACCTATCCTATAATGCAAAGTTTGCAAAAGAATGTATTGTCCAATGAAGGTGAAGGGATGCCTTATGATAATATATTTGTTTGGAACGCTTATTTAACACAAGCAATCCGATCAAGATGCAATAACACCCTTTGGACAATAGCTTTAGTTCATGGTCATTTTAAGCAGGTATGTCACTTTATTTCTCCTTCCTATCATTGATATTAATCTTTTACCTGTCAAATGTGAGTTATGTATACTTTTTTCATGCACTGATTCTCATAAAAAAAATCTTTACCATTGTCTTTGAATGTGTTTGTACATTCTTTTTTATGCTCCACGAATGTTGTCTGAAGTGTACCAAACTTTGGAATGGGATTAACGTGTGGTTGTGGTGAATACAAAATTGAGTATGGAAAACTTATTGAAATTAGCGTGGCAGAACTGCAGAAGAATTATAATTATGCTTGTCAATAGCTAGGAGGTTAGTTAATCATATGACTGGAATTAGATTGCATCTTATTTAAGATGTAATGGATTCATGCTGATTTGGAATTCCTTTTTTTCCCAAAATCATAATGACAAAGAAGTTAGGAAGCATGGATCTTTTACTTTTATTGGTTCTTCTTGGCTTCATTGCACCTCTTCTTCATTGTGTTAGAGATTCCTCTGGGGTTTCTTTGTCTAAATCCTATTACCAGTTCTTCACTCTCCAAATTTGGATAATTTTCTCCTTGCCAATCTACTATGGAAGCCCAAGGCTTTTATAGAGAACACATTGCCTTGTGTTTTTCTATCATGAGTTCTGCTTCAATGAAAACGTTTCTGTAAGAATTATATCAAGAAATTATCGATTTAGTCAATTTATGCTACCCATTAGTTCCCTCTTTTGCCTGGTGGATCCATCTCATGATATTTCTATCTTCTAGAGTAAGTGTATACATATGTGTTTTGTTTGTTGTACTCGTCACTGATAGAATATGGATTGGCTGACATGTCTCTTATTTTAAGTCAATTATTTTTTGTCTCCCTTTTGTATATGGGTTTTCTTCTTTTAGGAGCTCACTCTCTGATTCTATCCCTTTCTCAAAATGAAAATAAATATATTGGTCCCTGAAGTCTGGGAGATTGAAATCTTTTGCTAGAAATCCTAAACTTCCATAAGCAATCTTAGCATCCACCTTATGTAAATCCAATTTGCCCATCTTTAGTGGAATGATGATGTTTTGTCCAAAGAGGAGGGGCAGTGGTTGGATGCGAGGTGCAGAGAAATGGATTCAATCCACATCATCATCTTTATATTCTTCTCATTGAGATCTTTAGTTCTTGTTAGTTTTGAGTTTCACAACAATCACACAATCTTAGTATTAGTAGGTTTCATTTATTTAATATTTTATTTCATCCATTGGAATTGAGAGTGGGGAGATCAAAGAGAAGAATTGGGTTCCGGAAGTCTTGATTTGTCTGAGGAAAAAAGATCTAAAGTCTAAAAATGCGGACCTTGTACTGCTAGTGATTTGATAAAGAAAGATCTTAGGGGATACATATTCTCAACTCAAGGTCAATCAATTTCTTTCTTTTTGTTGGCAAAGAAGTTGTTAAGTCGCTTTTTGGTCTAAAAGTGGTGCTCTGCTGAATATTTACAATTTAGTTTGGGATGCTGAGAAGCATTTGTGCGGTAGTTGAAGTCACCTTATTAAATCTTCTAACTGGGATGGTAGCTATTCTTGTTGAGCTGAGATTAATTGGGTAGGCAAAAGGATGGTGCATGTCTGTATGTGGTGCATTAGTATTACTGTGTTGGGCATGTGTGTTCCCATACTCTATCTCTTGCTTAGTGGGATTTCATAGCCGCAGTTACATGCCACTTTAACAACTCTGCAATGTGACAAATAAATGAAGAGGGAGTTAGCTAATGGGTAACCGGTAGTTAGGATTAGTTAGTTAAGAAGGGTTAAGGGTATTAGGCTGTAAATAATGAGTTGCGTTAGGTTGTAATCAGGCATATGAGTAATGCAAGTTTGATTGTACTGTTTCTTTACTTTTTCTTCTCCCCCCTCTCTTTGTTTGCTCCATTACCTTTGTTTCCATCTCTTCCCTTCCCTTCCCTTCCCTTCCTCCTAATTACTATGCAACAAACTCATTGCCTATTTTGAAACTGGTATAAACTATGGGGGCTAATATATTAATTTTTCCTTCTTAAAAAGCTTATTTTCTATAAAAATTTAAAATTGTTATATTTATTTGTTAAGCAGGTTTATATGTATATATATACATGCAGATACATAAACATGCAACACCTTTCTGTTGTTTCTTTTGTGTGATTAATTGATTTTATTGACTTGTAAGTTAGTAATCGTGTGGGATCATAGTTCAATGTATAACCAATTCTACGATTCTTAACAATGGAAGGTACGTCTATCAATCTTTGGAAGGGACTTCAGTGTTTGCTTGATTTCTAGACGATCAAGGCATTTTGCTGGAACACGGTATGTTCTTTTTCTAATATTCTGTTCTGATGTCATATTTTTGCTTAACTGATTTTGTTTTTGCCTTTTTGTTTGGTCATGAGCAGGATTATGATAATTTAGTTCTAATGCTTTTTTGTTTGGTCATGCGCAGGATTGTGATAATTTAGTTCTAATAGATTTTTTGTTTACTTTTTTCAAATTTTTGTTGGTTCTCCTTGATGGTGTTCTGTTTGCCCCCTTCACCCTTTACCTTCTTTCTCAGAGGGGGTTGCTGATGTATGGCTAATGGTGTTTGTTATAGATTGTTATGGATTGCATATTCAATATTGTCATCCTTTTTATTGTTAACTCCATCAAGGTAATAGAGATTCTCAACCTCTCTAGCACTGCTAATCATCTTCTTGTGAGCCCAATTCTTGGAAAAGACATTCAATAGGGGTAAAGTTTGTTGGATAGGGAGGCGCAGTAGAAGATTAAAATTTTAAAATCCTTATCCTGATTTGGACTGAATGAACTCGTTTAAGTCAAGATATGTAGAAGAGTTACCTTTTAATTTCTTTGAAGTTGGCGTACGTTTGGATTTCAAAAGCTGACAACATAGATCTGCTCCCTCTATGGTATCCACACGAACAGCTCTCTAACTCAAACAGCGTGCTAGCGCTCTCAGTGTCCGTTCTTCTTTGAACGTTAATTTTCCTTTTTATAGGGTGTTTTGTGGCTCTCAGATTGTTTTTGTCGTCAGAACTTTTCTAACTCTCTCTCTCTTCATAAGGACGTCCCTATCTATATATAGTATATAGATAAGGGTTTTTATCTTCTACTTAAAAGCTCACGAAAATTTAATTAAATTTATCTCATAAATTTGATCCATAATATCATATCTAATTCGAATTTATCTTATAAATTCAATTATAAAATTGACATGATATTCTCTCTTATCATGTTAGTTATTAAATTTAATTTATGATATAAAATTAAATTTAAAATTGACATAATATAACATAATATAATATAATGTAATATAATATGATATATATCACATATATATATATATATTATATTTTATATATATTCATATATATACGTTATATTATCTATATTTAATTTTATATATCATATACATATATCATATATATGTTTGATACACACACACACACGTATATATTTCGAAAATATATATATATATATACATATATATATATAAAATTATATTTTGTATTTTATATTTCATATAAATATATACATATATAAATATTTATCAACTAAATATTCAAATATATATATATAATTCATTTACCTTATATTACATTCATTGAATCTTGACATATTTTAAATTCAACGAATTTGGACATTATAGCTCGAGTTGGGTCGTTCTGATGTGCGACCCTGTAGGCCCATATGAAATTGGCAGTGGGCTAATTACGCTATTAGCCCACAAGTTACAAGTGGCCTTTAATAAGACATTGCAACTACCCAATTTACATGGGGATCGATGATCCGATATAACTTATCATGTAACCATATCACATCCCTTTTGTCACGTGATATTTCGGTCAAGTATAAGACATGGAATTGTCATTCTCTTTTACCTGACCATTACTTTCTCGATTTCCGAGTAGACTGACAATAGCAATGGAAAAACCCTTTCCATTGTAGTATGGCCATACATTTTTTCATTCTTACTCATCGAGGGACCAAGTAATATCTCTCACTTAATATGAGGGACAAATTCCATCTTGGCCACTCATATTCCTCTGCATGAATATCACTAAACTCAATCATAGCTTTTACGATCACCCGGTCAAAGGTGACTTTTGACTAGGTCAAAGTTTAGTGGTCATCATGTAAGAATCCATGATGATCTTAGGTTAAAGGGCTTTGTGATATAGTTACATATGAGATAAGCTTATAACTTCTACCATGCAGCTTTCTCATAGCGGGTTGGTCTAGCACCTTGTACTCTTTCAAGTGCCTATGATTTTAATTTATATCTTTATAATTGATCAAAGTCATACCAGTTTTGTTTCATCTATGATCCCTCAAAGATAACCGACCAGGGACATTTAGGACAATTACTATAGTTTGTCCAGGGATACAGTTATTATATTTAACATGCAATTGTTATGATAACAAAAGAGAAATTCATTAAATAACAATGTGTATAGTACAATGATTGGCCTTAGGGCACAATTTCCAACAAAGTTAACATTACAACCTAGTGCTTTGGGAATTTTGTTCATTGATAGTAGATTACATTTAAGACTAGGAGCATATAAAACATTTTCAAGAACAATTTTACTAGAGATTTGCATTTTTACTATACCAACAACATGGATATAATTTCCATCAGTAATTTTGATACTCACCTTCTCACTACATGGCTGTAACTTAGTGAATAAAGCTGTCTTACTCGTCATATGGTTTGTGGCACTTGAGTCCACTATCCAAGGGTTAAATTTAACCTTTCTACCTTTAAGAGCAAGTATAGAATTACTTGGGTGAGCAATATACCCTGCAGGAACACTCTTTACATGCTGTTACTACTTGTACTATATTTTCAAGCAATTTTTGTAGAGTCTTAACCTCATCATGGCCTAAATTTTTACCCCCATATTCACAAATCTCTAGTTTGCCATCAGAATTTGCTGCTTACCCTTTGCTCCCATCTCTTTTCCTATTCCTTGGATTCATTGGCCTCCCATGGATTTTCCAGCAAGTTTTCTTGGTGTGGCCACTTCTATTGCAGTTATCAAACCAGCCCTTTCCCTGTCTCTTGCACTTCTGTTCCAAAGTAGACCTTGTAGCTATGGCTGAGATATTAGAAATAAGACTAAGAGTGATTCCTTGAAATAAATTCTTTATACTCTCTTCACACTTCACAGTATTGAATTTCTCACAAGGTAGGAAGAGGCTTTGCGCCCATTATTCTACCTGAGTCCTGACCTCTTCATCCTTTGGATGTAGACCCAATAGAAACTCATAGGTGCATTCTCTATCAACAAGCTTTCTGTAAATCATGTGATCTTTGCATGTCTAATCTTGAGTGTTGTAAAGGTCAATTTGTCTCCAAATCTTCACAAGATTTGTTAGTATTGCACAACTCGTCTCCCCTTGTTTGGTGTCACGAACCATTCCTTTCAATTGGAACAATGCTACTACATTTTCAACGGCAAAGTAGGTCTGTCTTGTTGAATCCCATATTTCTTTGGCCATGATTGCTAAGAGGTAACTCTTGTTGATCTCTAAATTTCTGGAGTTCAAGAGCCAGCTCATCGCCAAGGAGTTTTCAGTCTTCAATAAAGATGAGTCTTGTCCATACCCTTTCCTAGGATAAACATCATAATGTTTTGGGACCCCTAGTGATAATTGTCCACATGCAGCTTATGGTTGATGATAAGAGGAAGGGTAGGTGTCACTTGCAGCTCCCTAAAGGATGGCTGCGTGTGTTTGGAGATGGCCAAGTTATGTGGTGCCCTTCCAATCGAAACGGAAGAGTTTTTTCTACTTCAGAGGTGAAGGAACCCATCACGGCAAACTGAGGGATATTTTGAGACATGGGCGTAGCTGCTCTGATATCATGTAAGGGTTGGAATACTGCCATAGGCATTAGGGTTTCATTATTCTCAATGTATATAGTAGGGGCAGTGATGATCTACAATTTAATCTAGAATCTACAAATTAAATGATAAAATCTGACTCAAGAAACTAAACCCCGAATGGTGCACTAAGAGGGACAGAACAAGAAAGATAAATAGAAACAAATAGGCCTACAAATAACAACACATACCGACATTATCTCTAAATGTTGTTTGTGGATAATACTCTCTCTGATTCTATGTATTAGGCGTTTTCAACTAAATTGCTTAGACTAATAAAAGTTAGTTAGATGGTTAAAATGGTATAAAGCAATCCAATGTTTCACTTTTGCTCCTATCTATTGGAAGCAATTAGATTGCGTCTACTCCTTTCCAAAGCATAATTGCTCCTTTTAAAATTTCCAAAAGGCTAGGGTAAAGATGTTGAACTATCAAAAAAGATAACAAAACCCCTTATATTGCGAGCCAGAGAAAGGTTCTAGAAGAACCTCTTATAAAAAATGACAAGAGAGAGAACGGTATCTTGGGGTGGTCTTAATATCCCCCATGCTACTATAATTTGTTTAATTTTATCTTGTTCTGGGGTTAGACATTCTTTATGAACCAAATATATGAGCATTTGAGGCTTATGCTTTTGAAATTATAAACTACTAGAGCAGGTTCCATGTGTTACATGGAGTTTGAGAAATGAGCTGCATTGTTCATGCAGGTTCCATGTGTTACATGGAGTTTGAGAAATGAGCTGCATTGTTCATGAGCCATGAACAATGTGGCTTGTTGAAGTTTATATGTTATATATAGATTTATAGATTAGAATGTGGGAGTGTAATCTATTAAATCTCATCATTTGAAGGAATATCAGTGAAGTTGCACTTGTGGCTCTATCCTTGATGTTTACCGAGCATATATGTCCTTAGATTGATTGCACTTTCCTGCTTCTTTAATGTGAGATTTGCCTAAGCAGTATTTTCCTGGTGCATCACGTGTTCAGTGTGTAAATTACATGTTTGTGTCATTGAAACTCCGTTTTTTGGATACTACAAATAGTTTATGATTTGAGTACTACCCCATAGGAAATTATATATTCTGATTTGTCCAGGGAAGAACTGAAGGAGGAGCAGCAAATCAGGTTAGCCTTTTTCTGTCTTCAACTGGATTTCTCTGGGAAGCTTACCATTGTTGAAGAATTGGGGAACAAGATATGATGGCTTTAGTCATATGAGACTAGAAGGATTGCTTTTATCTCCTTTCTAAGAGAATGATTCTTAAATCATAATTCTCTTTCTTTCGCTTCATTTCTCTTTGGTTCTTATTTTTACCTTGTTCCCCTGCTCTCCCACTCATGACTATACTAATTCTGTCAGTCTCATTGATCACCTGTAAGTTTCACTTCTTTCTTTTATTTCTCTCCATAATGAGCTACCACTTTCAACTGTTTCCTTTTTCCCTTTGGATTGGTATCATCTTTCCGTATGGTTGGATTCCTGTAACATCTTTTACAGGATCATTCATGTTTTTCTTCTTTGTCTTTATGTTATGGAGGAAATAAACATTTATCTATATACTTTTCTAAATGTTTTGGAAATGCTTAGGCAATTTTATTATGGTATTCCTCCTCCTCTTTCTTTCCATAACCTAGGTATGGACCTTTAAGTTTCATTTTCCTTTGATTCTGTTAGTGACCCATTTCCAACATTTCTTACCGAGATGTCTTTGTTAACAGTGTACTTGTGAGATGTGAGTTGAATCATCTTGGAACTTTTAAGTTTTACCTTATTTCCTAGTATTTGGTTTAGGGTCTTTAACTAGATGACTTAAGTTATGGAACCTAGTAATTGTCTATACCTTTTTTGGGTGTGTTATATCAAGCATGAAGTGAAACCTTCAATCGACGTGGGCCTGGAAATATTCTCATGTGGTGAATTTTGTGATGCTTCATTGTTTTTACTGGAGATGTATCATGGCAGTTCTTTATCAGATGAATTTGCCCAGATGAATTATTTGCTACTGTATCTTATTTATTCTTAATTGTTGTGTTGTAGTAGATAAAGTTTCCTTAGCTATTTTAAGAATGGAAGAGTTCCATTTATTACCTACCATCTAAACTACAGAAAAAGTTCAGGATTATCTTTTCATCCTATTTTTATTTTCATATTCTGCAATAACTATTGATTGGAATGTAGCAGTTTAGTGCCACCTTCTTACTCATTGTCAAATAAAGAAACATATTTATATGGTGTGTCTATCTTGCAAAAATGTAATGGTTGGGATTGGTTTAAGTTGCTATGTCGTGTGCTCTTCTGCAGTTATTTGAAAAGGGGAGTCAATGACCGTGGGAGAGTTGCTAATGATGTTGAGACGGAGCAGATTGTTCTTTATGAAGAAGCTGGGTCTTGCAAGGGGAGAATGAGTTCAGTTGTGCAAATGCGTGGCTCTATACCACTTTTCTGGTCTCAAGAAGCTTCTAGATTCAGCCCTAAGCCTGATATCATCTGTAAGTGTTGGAATTCTTAATAATGTATTTATTTTTTTTTATTTTAGTTATTTCATTAGTAAATGATAGAGCACAATGATGTTATGCAATTCATGTAGTTGACCCTACCTAATGTGATAAAGGTTTATTGTTTTTGTTTAGTTATTTCATTAAACCCTTTCTAATTGTAATTTTGTCTCCTAGTGTAACATTTTCTTTGAAGTACTCATGTATTTTTCCTCTTTCTGTAGAATAGAAGTGAGGGTTTCAGACTTGTTGTCAATGTCAATAAAAGTGCGCGTGCACGTGTATTGTAAAATTTATTTAATCAGCTATGCATTTATTCTGCTGCTATAATATATCTAGCTCTTTCTGATGGGTTCTTTCTCTTTCCTTCAGTGCAGAGGTATGATCCTACATATGAGGCAACGAAATTACATTTTGAAGACCTTGCTCAGAGATATGGCAATCCAATTATTGTGCTTAATTTGATCAAGGTAATCTTTCTAAGGATGATGACCATGCCCAAAAGAAAATGGTGTGATCTATGAAGAGCTAACAAAGTATAAGTCATTTAATTTTTTTTTTTGAAAAGGGTATTACTTTGGTCACCTTCCTTATGTCTGCGGAGAGAAGTACTTTTCCTTCAGTGGCCTCAGTCTCTACTTCAGATCAGTACTTGTCCCCGATTCCAGTCATTGGCCTTGCTTCTTCCTCCTATCCAATGACTTACCATCAGAGATCCATTTTTCTGTCAAGTACCTTTGCATGTTCATGATCTAAAGAAGTGCATTAGAAAACAAATATATATTGACAGTACTATAAATATTTTCTGATATTTCTTTTTGCTTGTGAAAAAAGTTGTGAATATAAGAATGATTACAGTGAATGAGGATAAGGATTCCTCAAGGTGTGATTTGTAGTGGCTCATTCCTTCCTTCAACCTCATGGGCCTTCTACAATCTTATATCAGCCAACATAACTTTCTTGAACTCATTTTTTTTTAACTTCTGATGAGCAGAATATCAGAAGTTTCCTTTGGCTGCAACAATTCTTGCTCCATATTCCTAGTCTTCTGCCCCAATTCTTCCCTTTTTCCACACTATGCTCATCTGCTGAAAATTCGAGTACTACAACAACAACAAACAACAACAAGCCTTTATCCCATTAGGTGGGATTGGCTACATGGATTGCAAGACGCCATTGTGCTCTATCATTTATCAAGCTTTTAGGAATATTATTAATTAAGAGATTGCTTTCACCAACTTCCAGGGGTGTTCTCTTAGGCCTTCCTTTACCTCTCTTAACAGGGCTCAAAGTTATATGTTTCACTCTTCTCATTGGTGCCTCCTGTGGTTTTCTTTATACATGCCCAAACCATCTCAAACAGTTTTCTACCTTTTTTTCCTCAATAAGTGCTAACCTCACTTTTTTGTGTACGTACTTATTTCGAATTTTATCTTTATGTGTATGTCGGCACATCCATCGTAACATTCTCATTTCTGTTACTCCAACTTTATGCTCTTGCTGTCCTGTTAGAGCCTAGCATGAAAATTCCAGTACTGTGATAGATAAAATTGTTTAACTTCTGTCTTTGCAATGACACAGCTTTCTGCCACTTAACCTGCCTTGGTGTCTGATTCTCATTGCAGGTAGTTTTAACTGCATCACTACTCATTACTTCAATCCAACTCATAATTTGCTCTGTCCTCCTCACCACCTTTCCTAGTAGTTGCCTCCCCAGCTGCAGATAATATTTAAACCAGCACTGTAATGCTCATGCCTTGGATGGTTTTTTTTTTTTGTAGTCAGAAGAATGAGTAATCCATGTCTAGTGATTGAACAGGTCCAGCATTATAATCAATCCAAACACCATTGGACCCTTGTTTGTTCTGATTATTCTAGCCTCTTCAGGAGCCCAATTTTTTTTTTCTTTTTTAATTCTGATTCAGTTATGGGCTTCTGCCTCTTCTAATGATCACTACCCAATCCAACGCCCAACTTCCTTTGCTGATATTTTCATCCTTTTCTGCTACTGGTGGTCCTCCATTGTTCTAATGCTTCTCTCCAAACTAATTATCCATCTTCCACTTGGCACTGTTTTTGCTCCCCTTTTTATTTTCTATGCGGTCGGTTAATGATTGGATTGGCAGTTAGGAAGTTCTTAACTTCCTTTATGTTTTGGCAGTATATTCTGTATTGTGGAATTATTACTTTGTATGATGTCCAGGTGTCTTACATCTTAGTATGTGAAGTCCAGATGTCATTTATTATTACTTGTGTTAGTTTAGTGAGTTATGTGAATGTGGAATGATATGCCATGTATTATTCAGTAAATACCGAGATTCTCCCTGATTTTGTTTGTTTATTTCTTAGATTCTGATTCATAAACTAAAAGAGATTCAACCTAATCCTCTATCCTTCCCTGTTTCCACCATATTTCTTCCACTTCTTGGTTTTTGTTTATTATCACACACTACTTGCACCTTGTTCCCTATAGACAGCACTAACCTTATTGCCTAAGTTATTATCAATTTTAGCAAAATACCTTCTAGCGATAAAAAAGAGACTTAATGTTTTCCTAGAGCTCATTTAAATGATCATTACAGACTGTTGAGAAACGACCACGAGAAATGATGCTGAGGCGTGAATTTTTTCATGCTGTTGGGTATCTGAACCAAATTCTACCAGAAGAAAATCATCTTAGATTTATTCACTGGGACTTTCACAAGTTTGCAAAGAGGTGAGCATGTCAGGTTATATGTTCTTCCCCCCAATCTAAGTATATTTTTGTCAGTCCAAAATTGAATCTAACTATTATATTCTGCTGCTTCCAAAGTAAGTCTGCCAATGTTTTGGCAGTTTTAGGTGTTGTGGCAAGTGAAGCGCTTGACTTAACTGGTTTTTACTTCAGTGGCAAACCCAACATTGTAAAAAGGACCAATAAGAGCAACCAAGCAAGCAATGGAAGGTACCAATGAAATTGTTGACCAATATTCCACATGCAGTTTTTTTTTCCGTGTAATTTATATTTTGTATAGCCTTTGGATGAATCTGGAATCCTAATTTGGATATTAATCACAGATGCAAAATATATGGGGTCAATGCCCTTTACCCTTCATTACTTTTGCTATTAGATTCATCCATGAGCCACTTGGACCATTTTTCCCTCACTTATTTTATTTGTGCATTTATAAGAATTTAAGTAGATTTTGTTATGAACACTGATTATTTATTCTCTGGAATGGATTCTAGAACGTTTTATTCCACTGTTGTTGTTGTTGATTCCTTTGTTAAGCATGCAGATAGGAAAAAAATATTTTGGGAACATTGCATTTTCAGGATTACAGCACGCCCATGAATTTTAAAATCTCCATTCCCACTGATGTGCTGATTCCTATGCATTGGGAATTTTTTTTTTCCCATTTTGGAAATAACAAATATCTTTTCTTAGCCCAATTTATTTCTCACCCAACCTTTCTTATGTCGTGTGACCAAACTACCATAACTTGTCTGGCTGCTGCAGCTACTGCTATTGCTGTTACTGCCACTTTAACGAATGAAGGAACATGTAAAGATATGTAACATGAACTTTTAACAGCAGTCTTTTCCAAACCATGGGATTCTGGTTAGCTTTTATTTGAAGTAAATTATGACCTGACAGATTTAACATCAATCTCCTTTGACCCTTTGTCCCTAGAAGAAATACTGCCACTACAGGTCACATTCTTCAAAAAGTTCAGCAACTTCAAGAATGCTATCACTTTTACTCCTATCCTTTTGCTGCTTCTGTCAAAAATCATCCTCAAACTGTTCAGTGGGCAAACCTTTCTCTATCTCATTTTTTAAATAGCTATCACCTGAAAACATCATTTCTGATTTGTCTGAAAAATTGACAGTTCAGAACCTGAAATATAGAGGTTTTGTCTACTGCTGCATTATCCTTGGTTCATTACTAACATGCACCTCCATTTTCATAACCAGCCTCTTGTAAATTCTTCTTCTAGATTGTCTCTTTTCTCCCAGAGAAAGAAAAAAAAAACGCAGCTTGTACCCAATTCTTACATTATCTATGGCTGTGATTTCAGCTCTACCTTTTCTCACCCCTAAAACACAGCCCGACACACTTGAAATATTCAAAGGATTCTTATTTCTTATGAAATTGAATAATGAAGTTTATACATATATATATATATATATTGTTGTCATTCTTTACAGGGATGCTTCTCTAAAAGATCCGAGAACTAGTTCTGGAGATATTGCAAGGACTGGAAACAGTAATGAAATTCAAAATTCGTTAGTAAATCAAGACACAGAGACTGACAATAACCAACAGAACAGCAAAGATGATTGTAGTGGAGAAGCACCGTGTTTTCAGAGTGGAGTTTTGCGCACCAATTGCATTGATTGTTTGGACCGTACTAATGTAGCACAGTATGCTTATGGCCTTCAAGCTTTAGGACGCCAGCTTCATGCTATGGATTTATCTGATGTTTCCAAAGTGGACCCTGATAGTAGTATTGCTGCGGCTCTAATGGACATGTACCAGAGTATGGGTGATGCTCTTGCCCAGCAGTATGGTGGTTCTGCGGCTCATAATACTGTATGACATTTTGTGTGATTCATGGTTAATAATATACTTTGTTGGATAGATAATGAATATGCATATTTGCTTCTGTCTGTTTTTTTTTTTTTTTTTTTTTTACTGACAGGTTTTCCCTGAGAGGCAGGGAAAGTGGAAAGCAACAACGCAGTCAAGGGAGTTTTTGAAATCTATAACGCGATATTATAACAATACTTACACTGATGGTGAAAAACAAGATGCAATAAACTTGTATTATTCTTTCCTCTTATTTTTTATCAGCAAACAAGAGTCCCCCCCCCCCCTCCCAGATGGATTTAATGAAACTGATTTAGAAAGTATTGATGCTTCTATTTTCCTTGTGTTGGAAATGTAATTTTGTTCCTCAGTTAATCTTGTCTCAAATGATACTGTCTTCATCTATGGTAATAGTCTTTTAGTCTATTGGCAGATTTTTAGGTTACTTCCAACCACGAGATGGGAAACCTGCTCTCTGGGAGCTGGATTCAGATTACTATCTCCATGTATCTGGGATTGGAGATGACCTGATATCTGACCAGGGGTGAGTCCCCTAATTTACTCAAGTAATGATGTATGCGGGAGATTTGGGAGGAATTGTATGCCTTATTTATCTGAATAGCAAGATACATAATACATTACACAGGGAAAATACGAGAATAAATGCTATATAATCTCCTCCAAGTTACTAACCCTATCTTAGAGAATATTTACTATAAAAGTAAAGATATTCCCCCAATATATAAATCCATCATTGACATAATTGTATATGGTATATTACCTTTGCTTTCTTTATACATTTTCACATTTTTCATTTGCCTTTAATTTTTTGAACTTTTTGAAATTTGCAGTTCTGAAATTATTACTAAGCCTTCTCGTAGAACTGGAACAACGCTGATACCTGTCCCAGCTTGTAGAGAAGACTTCTCACGCATAAAGTTGACATCATTTGACAAGTTGATTGAAAAGACACGAAGTGAAATTAGGAATGTAAGACTTTGCAGTGATCCTGATCAGAAACCAGGTGGTGGTTTTGGAAACAGTGGGGTTGCACCTGATGCAGCGTAATTTCCCTCCTTCTAAACAGCTGATTCACTTCTCGTTTTTATTCTCTGCCATTGAGCTCTATTTGTTTCACTAATATTTTCCATTGATCATATAAATAATATAATTTTTCCTTTTTATTTTTATAATATGATGTTTCATTATCTTTGTTTACTGATATATTACTCTAGAATTTGATAGTCTCTTGATTTCTGGTACTTGATCTTTTATTTTTCTATGTGATTTTTATATATTAGTTGTTCAATAAGTAAATCCCTTTAGACGGTGACTCAGTATGTTTGTGTTCTAAAGAATATGAGAGAAATGTGAGAAAGAGAGCTAGAGAAAATGTGAAAGTGAACTCAATGAGAATTAATCTACTTGAGCATTTTATTTATGATGAGGGTGCAAGACCATTTATTTGTGACTAATTATTACAAAAATAATCTTCCAAAATATTACAGCCCAATCATTATTATTCATAATCAAATCATATCACAATTAACACACCCCCTTAAGTTGGAATGTGTAGGCCAAGTGACTATTAGATAGTTTAATTTGTTATTTTGTCAATATCTATTAGAATCGGTCAAAGGTCCCCTTGCAGGCCTTTTTATTTTTTTGGCTTGCTATCCTTGTACGCAACTTAAGTTTATTTAAATAATATAATGCATAGTGGAAGGTGTCTCTCACTCTAAGTCTAAAACCTGCGTTTCTTCATCAATTGAAATTCCTTACCTTAATTTAGCATCTAATTCTATGCCAATTCTGCTTCCTTCCCTTATATTCTCCTTTTAGTGAGAGGAAGTGGCTTACTTTGTTGTAGAGTTGTATGTCAAAAGGCATTCTTGCTCATCATAACTCAGGATCATTTTTGCAATTCCACTGATTGTCTTGTGCTCTTTTTCAGTGAGATACAACTCAAAAGCCCAAATTGGCTTTTTGGCCAGAGAAAGTATGAAGAAGGTGCTGCAGTTGGAAAGGCTGCTTCACGTGAAACTGATATTGACAGATCTCAAGCTGAGACAAAGGGCAACGGTTTTTACAACCTAAACTGGCTTTCTTCTGCTAATGATTTGAATGAAGAGGATGCTTTCCAACGGTATGTATATGGAAAGTGCTTTACCTTTCTGGTTCATTTTCTCATGATATCCATAATCCAATTTATTAATATTTTTCCTGGGTAATAAATTTATTTTAATTGCCAGTAGCTGATTTTTTTTGTCTATTCATATTATCCACTTATCCTGAGATTTAGCCTATGCTGAGCTGTGGAATGAAGGTTTTCTAATCGTTGATGGACCAAATTATGTGCATTTGAAACTGATAAAAACGTGGGTGTTTGATATTTTTACATGGGATTCTGGACTCTACTTTCTGTGATTAGCAATCATCGAGTGAATAAGTGTTGCAATTTCTTTGAAAAAATACAGTTTGAATTTTCTGTTAAAGTTGCCTAACTTCTCTAGGATCCACTAGAAAATTTTATAAAAGGTTTTGGTCGTTTGCTGTTATATCTTTGATTGATTAAGAATCTGGTGGTGTTTTTTAATTTCAAAATGATAATCTTCTGTTGCCTCTTTCCAGAGCCATAATTATTATTAGGGTATAGTTAAACACCAATTTCTTCTCATCGGATTTGATGACTCAATTATTGTCTGCTTTGAATTTCCAGGTACCTGACAGTGACCTCTATTAATGAGGATAATGGTTGGTACGGAGGCACTCTTATTGGAGATCAAAATGAAAGCAGTGCGATATATAAGCACTATGCAGCATTATGTCAGGTATGTATAGGCAACCTTTCAATTATACATGTTGCTTCCGCATAAATAGAAATCCTGCACATTCTGGTTGTGGGGGTGGTTAAATGGATCCATGATAAGCAATGCCTACAATCCATTAAATATGTATTTAATGAATAAGGCCAAATTGAATCCATTTATTTATTTATAATACATGTTAATGGATATTTCATGGACCATCCAAAATTAAACCTATCCATGACACGTCAATTATACCGAAGGCTATGCTGGCCCAAGTGTATAAGTGCATTCGGCTGGGCTGGGCCAGTAGATGGGTCTTTACTTGTTACTCCCTTCTATCTTTAATATTAGACTTCTTTTAGAAATTTTGCTTGGTCTTTGATATGAGGCACTTTATAAAATTTAGTGAAGCATTTATGAATTATTTCCAAAAATGCCCACATGTCTAATTGATTCATTTCAGTGACATATTTCACTTAGTTTAAAGGTAGAAATTAATAGTTTTAATTGAGGGTAATTTGGGAAAGGTTTAGTAATTTTTGAAATAAATCAAGACTCTTGACTAATTTTAACTAGATTTCTTAATTCGTGTAATTTGGTTAAATTTGTCTTTAAATAGGATCATAGAGAGTAATTGTTAATAAAAATTGTGCTTTAAATAAATAACTTAATGGTGAGGCCAAAATGCACCAAATCCCTTTGAAATTGTCTGATAATCCCGCCTTCGAAGCTTCTAGTTTTGTGCAGATCATTAACCTTGTCATTTATAAAACCCTTCATTCACTAAACGATGGATGATGGATGATATGCCTAATCGATTTGTTTTTGGCAAATTGCCTTTCTTAAGTATGCAAATAAATCTTTTTATTTTTGAGCCATGTGTAGATAACGTTCTTGCTTTACTACACTTTCATTACTAATGGAATCACTGACAGACCACTTGCACATAAGCTTGAATTTGAGGGGTTTTAAGTGATGAAGGTTGAGAGGAGGGTTGTCTAACATAAAGTTCAAAGGGGTATTGAAAATGGATTTAACACCAGCTAACATACGGGTTCTTATATTTGTCCATTGTGTTCCAATTTACAATTGCAGTTTGTCAATTTGCTACTTCTAGCATGCAAATGGATCTTTTGCAATTCGAGGTGTAGTGGAAGAAAGAAAGATTGAGCGTCCAACTTTGAAGGATGTTTTTCAAAATGTTAACCCTACAGTCTCAATCCATTCTCACCAACTGTTTCCTAATAAATATACCTTTCAACTGCGAGAATTTGGATTGCTTCTAGCATCCACGGGAGGAGAATGAAGGATAGTAGCTCGTAGGTCTGAGTAGCAACTCATTGTTGTTGTGATCTTATTGGAATGAATTTAATGAATAAAACATAAAACATTCTTCTAAAAATGAAATAAAACAATAACTAGTTAAAGTTAAAAAACATGGACATCCTTTTAGTTTCCTTGAAATTATAATAGACTACCCCCATTTTAAAATTTACATAGGTCTTATTTAAAAATAATTATTTGCTTTAACCATACCTTTATTTCTGAAATTACATTTTCTGCTTGCCTTTTGTTAATGAGCTATTGGCTTCTTATTTTATACCTCATATGATATATATTTCAATAAATTATCCTTTTCACTCCACGACGAAATTGTTCCTGTCTTTTCATCATTTAGTACTTTGGAACTAGTATTGAACGTCTTATGAATTGAAGTAAGAAAGCCATTTCTGCCATGACTATTAATTCCTAGAACAATTTGATGAAATGAGAGTTCTACAATATCCATGAGATTTACAACCCTAAAAAATAACAAAAATTCGAATCTTTCTAAGCAACAGGAGAAGAAAAATTTGCCTAAAATTCATATTTTTGGTGAAAAAAAGCCTGTATATGAAAAAGAAGATTCAGCAAGAATAGGAGAACTAGTGGGAATTGAACCTGAGATTGTTTACTCCATGCATTGTCCTCTCCGCCATGGGTAGCTCAGCACCATCGAACTCACTGGTCTGTGCAACTCCCCTTTGTGGTTCGACAAAGTTGTGGTTCAGAGGCAGTTTGCATTCGTTCAGAAGTAGGAATTTGGAATTTTAGGTTACAAAGATAGATTAGTAATTATGAGTTACTTTGATATAACTTTTAATGAGCAAGTACTTAGAATCTCTGAAGCAATATTTCCAACAAAGGTAAGTAATTGGACTAAAATATAGGTCTTGAAAATAGAAAAATGGAAGTCTGCAATTTTAGTAATAGTCAAGGAAATACATGTGTTTTACCATAGAAGAGTCATGGAATATTTTGGATTCAAGTCTTACAAGCATCCTAATTAATGATCAATATGTATAGTTCTTAACGAATGTCAATGGTGGAATATGCAGGGACCAGAGTTGGAACTATTTCATAATGACCTTGAGAGTGAAAGACATTATGCAGATGTTTTGAGCCTGAGTTCATATGACATGATTAATGACGATGTCGTTGCAGCGGAAATGGAAGCAGCTCTCAATGAGTATGAGCAAGTTGGAGCTGACCTTGGCATCATCCCCTCGTCTTGTAAATACTTTGCTGATGACCCAAGTTGGTTGTCAAGATGGTTAATCGGAGAAGAGAGAGTACCAGGGACATGATATTCTACTGTGTCAACAAGTTCGTGCGTGCACGCGCACACATATATTCACTTCAAATGACTGAATATTTCTTTTTCGCTCTTGATCTATAGTTTGATTATTATGTTTTAAGCTGCAAAAGAATAGAATAGGCTATTCAAATACTTCCTCCAGCCTCCAATTAGTATTTTCTTGTATCAAAGAATTCCAACGATGGTGAGTTTGCAAACGTGTTGGGTTAATGGCCAGTCAAACTGCAGGTCCAGCAAATTTCAAGTGTTGAGTCATGTACAGTTCACTCAAATTAAAACTTGATTTATAGTGCTTGTGAAGAATAGAAGCTACAGCGGGTGCTTTGTGCATTGGGAATAGAAGCTACTTATTGCCCAAAAGCCATGAACAAGGCATTTCTTTCCCTGTGCCTTTTCTCATACAAAACTGAACTCTAAACCCTTTTAGTTCTTGGTGTTTTTTTTTTTTTGGAAGTATGGAGTAGTCCTCTCCAAAAAAAATCTTGTCAGTCCTCTTTATTATTTTTTTTTTGCCAACAGTCCTTTATATATATATATATATATATACACACATGTAGATATGATTATATTTGTATGAGATTGAAATATAGAGGAATTTACTTTATGGAAGTGGCCTCTCTCCACTCGGCAGAAAAAGACCACCGTGATTGTGGACCATTGTATAAGTTTGAATATTCAAATTTCACGGTTTTTAAAATTTTTCTACTAATCTATAACATTAAAATTTGATATGAAATATTTAAAATTGTAATGGAGGCATGGTGGAGAAATTCAGCTGGGAGAAGTCAGGTCTTCTATTTGTTGGCATTTCATAAGATTATATTGATAAAAATTAAACCAATTTAAGGATTAATTTATTCTCATTTAATTATATATGCATGTCAAAGCCATCAATATATTTTACACACAATCTCAATAGAAAAGAAACATCCAAGAGCGCTTTGAAGTTGTATATACCTTTTAATGAGGAGTGTTTGTTAGAGTTTTGATCCCAATTGTCCTATTTCCATTTCAATCATATAGAGACAGGTCTATCCTAACATAAAAAGGTTGCGATGGGATAAAATTACATTGAGACAAGACAGGACAAGTTTAATGTCAAGACATGCTATCCTATCCCATTTCAAAAAGGTATCAATGTTATATTTTTAAAATTTTATTTTGTTACTACTTATCAAAGTTACATGCAGTCTTGTTCATAATTTTATGTTGAATCTTCTGAAAAGTAGTTATATATTGAAGCTGAAAAAGTAGTTACGTTGAAGTTCAATTGATTTGAAGTGAAGACTTCAGGCATATTATTATAGTAGCTAGAATAAAAACAACGTTGTTTAATAAATTTTCCAAGTCATGATTAAATATTTTTGGTCTTTTTTGATTGACTGGTTGTATTAATTTTTTTACCCCTTTGTAATTGTTAGTTTCAAATGGAAAAAAAATGTACTTCATTATTCATATTTGAAAAGGTAGATATCATAAGATAAATACTAATTGTTTAATTCCTGCTCCTCTAACTCTTCCAATCTGTCTCCTGTCCTAGAAGACGCAGGAATAAAAACTCAGTCTTGTTTCTTTTTTAGGACAGGGACATAAGATAAGATTATCCCGGTGACGTCCCATCTAAGAACACCACTACTTTCAACCTGCCTTTCAAGTCCCTGAATCCCCATAAATATTATACAACCAGCAATTGAAGAGGAGAGAAATGGTACTAACCAACGCTTGTTCCCATTTCAAGGGACAAGCCTAAACTTCGACGTCTGTTCTGATCATCAAAATTAAAAACATTCATGCATGGCTTGAACCCCACGATTTGAGTTCAGCTGCTCTCCATCTCTCCTTAAGAACAGTGAATGCATGCAAAATATTATTACTTTACATAGAGATGGTGGGGCATGAATCGGTGTTTTAGGAAGTTTTTATCAATTACTTATCCCACTAATCCTAGGAAAAATGGCACAAATCAAGCACCTGTCAAAAAGATCCCATATGCATCACCGCAGATGCACCAGTAATCTGATAGGAAATGCATCACTAATTAAAAAACTGAATGCATATTTCACAAATACCTCAGCAAGAAAAGTTTTTATTTTAGACAACCAAATATCATAGCACCATTCACTCATTCAGGGCCTCAGAAATGCTTATATTGTGCTGCACATAATGTAACGTGGCTTCAATCAAAAAATTCATATCATTCAGGTCATTCAAAGCTGAAGCTTAGTTGAGATTTCATCGGGGAAAAGATATAATTTTGAGCTAGTAGGACCTTAGGATTCCCAAACCTGTTTTCTAAGTACTCTATGACGACCATGATCAACATTGTTCCCATAGAACATAAAATTCAACAAATCACCAACAGCGACATCTGGATCTAGTCAGAGTCATTGTTTTTCTCAGATTCACATCAACCACCAATAGTTATGCATTAGGGCTAGGTTCAGAATTTGTTTCTGATGGTTTAACCATATCTTCAAAAGCTTCCATGTCAATGGTCATTTCATCATTGATATCAGCCTCGGTCATGACTACATCCTTGTCAGCAGCCAGAGGTTCAGTGCCATTCTCTGTAATATTGGATTCCTGATTCTGCTTTTCAATTGCTTTCTCTGATCCATCTGACTCTTGCACAGTTGTTTGTGGATATGGATCGGTGCTGATAGTCAATGTGGATGTAACCAACAAGTTCTGCAATAGTAAATTAAAAAACGAATAAGAATACTTCTAGGCAAAGACGTTGTACATGACCAACAAGTTATAAATGAGGGAAACAAGTCGTAAGATGCAGTATACATTAGGTGCCAATTAATTAGGAGAAGATATTTATCAAATCCAAATTCCAGAGTTTCAATCACAGTCAAATTTAATTAAATTTAGTTTAGTCATCTTTCATTCAATGTTGTAAGAAAATCATTTTTTGTTTATTTGAATTCCCTTCTAAATAATACTGATGGCTATATTTTGATCAATCTTTCCTAGCGAGAGAATACTCCGTTCATTCTCAAAGTACAACTACAAGTGTGACTCATACTTGCAAGCTTCACAGCAAAACTCACAGGAAAGTTTATACCAGGCCTAGTGTGTTATAAGGTACGTAAGTTTAGCTACTATCCTTCAATATCTTTAAACCCAACCAGTGAACTTTATTGTTGAACTCATGCATGAAGTTAGCATCATAGGAGTGTCAACTTGTCCCCAAGCAAGTCCAAAGTGCATACCAGACTCTAGGATTCCAATTTCTCTTGCAATAGAAAACCTTTCAACCATCATATCTCTTTTGTAACCACTTGTGACAAACATATCATTTACATATACAGTGTGAAGAAAACAAGTTCACCACCGAAAGAGAACTTAGGGAATCAGGTGTTATCAGCCCTGAACCTAGGAATATCCATGGACTTTGACTATGAGGTGTGATCAAAGTATCCCTATAACCTTTGACAACCGAAGTAAATTTGTCAAACCAGGCCCTGAGAGATTGTTTAAGCATACAGAGGGACATGTGAAGCTTAGACACCATGTTAACATTTTCTTCCGAATTCAAATCCAAATGGCATCTCCATACAAACTTAATCTTCAAGATCCACCATTCAAAAAGGATTTTTTTTTTTTTTTAACTGCCAATTGATTATCATGGTTTTGGCTGCTCCAATTTGGTCATTAAGAGTGGTCCGACCTCTTGGGCTCTGATATCTTGACGAATTTTTATAGTATAACTTCCCTGATTTGCTCAATATTCATCAAAGGAGAACAGAAACAGTGATAATTGACAGCAAGTCCTGCCAATCAATCTCCAAAACCCACAATAGGGATTACAAGATACAAGGAACAGAAGGGAAATGAATGTTGATAATCCGCAAAAAACCTCCTAACAAAATCCATGATATATCAAGATGGAGGGCCCCTCGCAGGATTTCAATGCTTTCACTTCTAAGTGATCGGATTATCTATTTTGCCATATGTTAGAAGTTTACAGATTAATCATCAATTAAAGTAACAAGTGAAAAAATTAAAATTTAAGGGGATATTTTAAAACAAAATTGAACCGAATTAGGTGCACCAAACTATGAAGCACTAAGCATACCTTCTCAAGAGCTAAGGCAAGCTTTGAAAGATTGGGTAAATACTTTGTGCGTCCAATAGGATCTGTACAATAGCAGACGAAAAAGTATTTCTGAGAAATGATGTACATGTAAAAACTAAATCAAAAGGAGACCATTGCCTTTTCCCTCACTGAAAGAAAGGTCAAGAGGTAACAAGCAAACTGATGGTCTTCCACGTGCATTAGCAGTATTTATTGATGCATGCCATAAGCTTTTATCATGTACAAGGAACAGACTTGAACTTTTGAGTTGAATTGGATATTTACATGGTATCAAACTTTCTGACAAAATGATCAAAGTGCAAACATTGCAACCTCTGCTTTTATTAAGCAGATTCAACTTCAGCGAAGGTATTATGGTAGGAGGGACTATACTCAAAATCACCTCTATTCTACAAGCATACAAGGGCATATGAATCATTTTTAGTGTTGTCAACGATGGCACATGGTGACAAATAGTGACAAGCCAACACCACCATGACACCAAGGCAGATGGCATGGCAGCTGCCATGTGCATGCACAACACCTTAAAAAAATAGAAAATTTTACATATACACAATGAAAATAGGCAAAAAGCACTATTAAATACTCACACTAAGAAATTTTTAAACAAATGATGTCGTCATCTAACTAAAAGAAGTACCGATGTCCAACCAATACCCCCTTGTACGATCCAATAGTTATTCAGCAGAAAACATTATCTTACATTTCTATATTCCTGATAGAGTCCCACATTAGAGTGCCAAAAGTAATTCTTAATACTTCTATGGCATAATTCTTTCCCATTACAAGTTGGTTTTTAAGGGAGGGTTCACTAGGCCTGCTTAAGTCTCCATCAAAACCAAATGATGAAGACCTAAGCAGTATGGTAAACGCACTCATATAAACTGGCTTGGACAGAAGGTGTAGGGAAGGAAGACTGTGAGGAAGTTGTTATAACACCCGAGGAATTCAACCATTTAGATCTTCAATCCACCTCCAAAGAAAGACAAACAATTGACTGATGGTGTCACAGCTACCTTAGAAGAGATCAATCGGGGACAAACATTACTTTTGTTGACTGTGACCCTCCACTATTATTTTGATTGCCAATTTATAGTTTCAAAATTCATAAAACAACAGGATATCAGAGTTGGTGCACCACTATGCGGGAAACTACAAAGGTAAAGTGTATATCAACCTGATGTTTATGGTAGTTGAAGGTTCACGTGAATTTTAACTGAATCACTAGTACCAACACTATTCATTAATGTTTAAGTGTATGTAATATCATACTATTAATTTATTAATATTAGAATGCCAAAAGTATCCTAGATTTCTCAACAAAACTTACCAGATTTCTATACCAATGCTCTAATAACAAAAGCATTTTTTGTTTATAACCAAGAAATAATATCAGAGGTTGGAGATGTGATACAACTAAGGGATGCATATATTAACCTCCAAGACAGAATGAAGAGTATAAGAAAAGGATAGTGCCAATAATGCAACATAGCTATCCAAACTCATTGCATATCACCAAGACTCCATTGAAACAGCCATTTGGAGAATACTAAGGTTAAGAAGTTGACACAGCTCTCATTTCATATTATATGAAAGTTATTATCAAAATAAAAGGAAGACACATCAAGCTAGGAAAGGTGTAACTATTAACGTTTGCTTCCAAGACAAAAAGAAACAATTACTAACACACATGAATATTACTGCCAGAACATAATACCGCACAACACTTACTTCACACAACCTCTGCAATGTAAATGGAGGGCCTTCATAAAAGGAATGAAGAGCTGCAATTCAAAAATGTATCCAGTAAATTTTATTGAACAAGAGCATAACAAGATAGACATGATAGGGAAATCTATCGAGCACATTAATATATTAAAATGCATTCCTTCAAGTTAAAACAACAGATTCAGTCTCCTTGGTAAACACTTACAAATATTTTTAAATTCCTCTGTTCACATACACATAGTGAATAAAAAAATCAAGAATCCACCTCCTTGAACAAAGATAGGATCAAAGCAAAAAAAGAAGAAATTGGTAACTATGATGCCCCAAAAACACACCTCTGGCTTTCAAGAACCAGGTTCTCTCCACCTCTTCCAAGGAAATTCCTTAATTTTCTCCAGTTGCCTTCCCCATGATAAACTACTACCCTTGATGGGCACTCTTTGTCCACTCAAACAATACATAACCAAGTTTGTTATGCCCAATTAACTATCAGCCTATATTCCCTGCCACTTGATTCTTAATTTTATTTTTAGGCCTCACTAATTTGTCCTTGAACATTTTTCCATCTAGTATATTTTTGGGCCTTTTCCTCTTCCCGTGAACCATGCATCTAACATCAATAGGTCCATCAGGTACCCATTATATACCAACTAATAAAAACACAATTATTAGATCATAATAGCACCTGAGAAGAAACATTTCAGATACAAGAAACTCATCTTGCCTTTAGAGCCCTAAGCCTATCAGTAATTTTTAATCCTTTACGGATGTTTTCAAAACAATGTTGTCCTAAAATACGAGTGTAGGAACATATGAAACCTGGACAATGTGATAAAGAAAATCTAATTTCTTCTTAAATGATAAAAAAATTTAGATTGCACATGTAAACATGGCATGTGATTGATGTCTTCTCTTTAGCACTTTCATGGAACCATAAGTTTGCATAAAATATGGTAAAATACCTTCATCCAATCTGTTTACTAGATCAGAGTAGGACTCTCTTAAAGAAACATATTGCTGCTCACTTGTCATTTTTGCTTCAGGGTACTCTGACAGTACCTGTACAGCAATTACGAAGCAGAAAGTGTAAGGACAACTATGCAAGAAAAGTATAATAGTAAAATCCCATGTAACCTATGAATATAAACTATTAATGCCTTTGAGACTTAACACAAAAAATATAAGACCTAATTGCTAGCATACCTCCCCATACCTGCTTCAGCTGAACTGACAGCATGCTCTTCAACTTATCCCAGTCATGCCTGTTATTTGAAAGTAAAGCGTGAAACAATGAAAAATGACTATATGAGCATTATTTTTTTTTCATTACTCAATAGTATCCTCCAATTGAAGGCAATCATGTTTGAAGCACAATTGGGTATTAAATGTGGGCACCTCTCTTAGTGGAGATTCGAACCTTAGTTCGCCACATTGTGAAGAACTAGCCCCTTCCATTAGACCCAACCCTCCTTGATTACATTAGCATTATTTATTAATATAGATCTAGATGAAATCTTATTGACCTTATCAATAGACAACAAATCCTACTATGTAAACAAATAGTTTATCCATTATTCCTTCATCATGAAATAGTAGATTTATGAAACCATGAGCCCATGCATTGATATATTGTCATTGAACCCTTTAGGTTTAAAAATAAGAAAGACAAAACAGGACTAGCAATTTTGTCCATAGAAATGGGAGTTTTGTTAGATAAAGTAAGAATTATGAAAGAGAAGAATAAAGGGTTCTTTGAAAAAGCACGGGCTGACTCAAAGACCTAGGACCTTGGCTTAGCAACCAATGAAGGGGAGCTCAAAGAGCTTAGGGTCAAAAGAAAAAAAAAAACGGGGCCAGGAGAAACCAAAAGAAGGGGAAGGAAAAAGGGAAAAAAGATGCAAAATTTAGAACAACAAATCTCCCCAGATTAAAAGGGAACCAAGAGAAATGACCCATTTTGTAAGTGAACAAGTCATTAAGTTAGCCTTTTTTAACTTATTTTTAACATTATAATTTATATCATTTTGCCAGGTAAGATTGCCTGTGTTAAGAGCAACGTGTCATAAAGACAGATTTTCCTTGTGGAAAATTTACTTATGGTTTCTGCTACAGTATAGTCCCTCAACACCCCAGAAGAAAGCAAGGTTTCTCCAGCTATTTGCAATCATATATTCAGGAAAGAAAATACACACATCTCAGTAGACAAATTGCAGAAAAGCCATAAAACAAAATGGTAATACAATGAAACATACCAGAATCTCCCAGTGGATGCAATAACTTCTAATACACGTTTAATTTCTTCCCTTGAAATATTATGCTCTGATTCAACACCTCTACAAGATCTCAAGCATAATCATCAATCAGAAATGCACATATTCTGTCATACTGTATTAATAATCAATTTTTCCTACATTACAAGAATTTATGCAAACCAAGGTTGATCTGAATGTCCCATTAACATATCAGTCAGTCAAATATGATCAATAAAGTGGACTGTCATTTTAAGATACCTCACAGAGTGTGAGCATAATTTACCCAAATTTCTAATGTCACTTAGTTGAATCTACAGCCCTAAAATACATAAAACCTAAACCTAAATTTTGCAACTTTTATCACATAATCCAAAAATGTATAAAGTGCTAAAGCAAGGGACCATGCAGCCTTAGCAGCATTTGTACTATGAGAAGCGCTGGCTTTGGTTGGGCACCGAAAGGCATGCCTTTTGCTTGGCATAAGGCAAAGCATTTACAGCACATAACTGATATTGCCAGTTGAAGGTTTTTTTGAGGAATGACACTGCTGTATTGGCTGGCTTATTCCTTGGTTGAGGGTTATTAGGTTTCAGTGTTTAATTAATCAGAATATGGAAATTTCATATTTAAAATATTACATGAGAAGCGAAAATTTTATAATAAAAATAGGAAAGTCTTAAATTTAAAATATTAGATAAGATAGGAAAGATTTCTAATGAAAAATAGGAAAGTCTGAAAGTTAAAATATTAGATGAGATAGGAAAATTTTAGAGTTAATACTATAGAAGTTAATAGTTTTTAGGGTTTTCTAATGTAAATAAATATGAGAAAACAAAGAGCCCAAAGAGGGGCAGCCAGTTGTGCCGTGAACTTCAGTTGTTAACTTTTATTGTTTATTAATAGGATGATTGACATGACTACTACATTTATGATTTTCTATTCATACGTCATAACATTTTCAAAATATATCTACGTACGTATGTATGGATGAAGGTTATTTCAATGTACATGTATCAGCATTTTTTGTCTGCATATCATATTTTTCTTCACATTGTAGCGCCCCACTTCACTAGGGTGAGCACCTTTCTAGCACCTCCCTAAAGCGTTTTACATGTTTGAAACCTCAAGGATGCCTTTTGCCTTTGGCTACCTTATTCCAAAGAGCCTCCAAGTTCACCCTATTAAACCATTATATGCTTCCCGCCTCTCAACTTCACAAACAAATATATTAAAATAGAAGAGTTCACCAATCCCTCTAGAAAGACCATTATATGAAAGAAACTTATTCCCACCAAACCATGTGGAGGAGTGGAAGCAATGTATACCTGTGATTTAAGATGCTAGCCACCGTATCATTGCTCTGATGGTCATTATCATTGGAAGAAATAGGTACATGCTGCAAATTTTCATTTGATGTCCCCATCAATTGCCCTCCACCTACATAAAATGATAGATAATGAAGTTCAGATCCAAGCAGAATAAATGCAGCCAGTTACCCCAGATTAGATTACGATAATAATAACGGAAAACAATACGTTGTCAAAACACACCCGCCTGCAAACCACTAAGGCCTCAGCAGGGCACTGAGACCCAGCACCTTGGTTTGCCCAAGTCAAAGCATGCATCATCATGCAGGGACGAGGCACCGCCATTTTGGGATAATGTCGTCCAGCATTTTCGGCCAAAAAAATCTAGTAACATCTACTCCAATGCTTAGCAAGTGAAGATCCAATTAAAAGAGTTACTCCATTCAATTAAACATATCTGAACTTAAATTACACGAGAAAACTCCTAACGACCTTCAATTTAACCCAAAATGTATAACTTCATTCTTCCATTAAGCAGGAATTTCATTTAAAAAGGATCTTTTAAATAGCTCCAAGCGTAAAACTGATGCTGTAGGAATTTGGAAGGTATGGTAAAGAATCAGGTTTCAGGCCAGGGACAGAGCAAGTTGCTCTATTATGCGTGGACTGATATGAGGCAAGTGAGTATAATTGATTTATTGGTCAAATAGTCCATGTGGTACAGTGTTTACAGATTCTATCGGTGCATCCTCACGAAAGCAAACAATTAAGAAATTGTTTGAACTACTCGATGACTTTGAGTAACGTATTGGAAAGCAAAATATCGTTCACGTGGTCCTAATTATGGCAGCAATTACGTCCCTAAAACACCTCCTCCCCTGCCTTTCTTCCTGTGAATCGAATTCACTGTCCCATTTCGAAACAAAACGCAAAAACATCAATCTTGCATCACCACAAATAAGAACCCCTCTCCATGAAAACCCAAGGCCATAGCAGATATGAAAAAAACGGAGCCTTTCTTTCTCCTGAAAACCCACTAACTTGGACCAACGTTCAGCGAACAAGAGGGGAGAAGGCAATAATTTTCAGCTAAAGAATTGTAGATGAAAGAAACCACCGAAAAATCTCAAAACATTTGAACCATGAAATCCACTCACCTCAGCCGGTAAGAGGATCTCGCCGGCAACTTAGTCGAGTGGTTGTGGCCAGTGGGTCGAGGCGTAAAGGCTCTAAAATCAATTTCCCTTCCTTGGGCCTCCTGGGTGTGGAGTGAATAGCGTTCCGTCAGGAAATTGATGGACACAAAAAAAAAGGTACGAAATAGAGCCTATAATTCGAGCGCCGAAATTATTTAGGCCAACCTCAACTCAAGCATGATTTGTTTGGATTAAAATTAAAGTATTTTATTATTTTAAAAAACTTATATAGTTTATATTTTAATTTTTTTTTGTCAGGTTCAAGTTGACTCATTGAGTTTGATCAAAATTACCTCTTATATATACATATAGAGTAGGTAATTTCAACAGTCAAGCTTATTCAGGTCAAATTCAATTCAAACTAGGTTTATTCAGATCAAACTTGAAGTATCATATCCCTTTAAACAAGCCTATATAATCAAGCCCGACTCTAACTTTTTTTCGAGTGAGTTTAGGCTAATCCATCGACCTAGACCAAATTATCGGCTCTAGTAAGAAAGAAAGTGGAGGCCCATAAATCATCAAGAACAAGAAAAAAAATATATATATATATATATACACTCCCTTCCTTAGAGCTGATAATTCAGGCCAACCCAAACCCACCCAAAAAAACTTAAAGTCAAATTTAACTATATGAGCTTTTTTAAAGGAATAAGATATTTTAAATTTGACCTAAATTACGCCCGATCATTGAAATTACCTACTATATATGTATATAGAGGAGGTAATTTTGGCTAAGCCCAATGGGTCAGCTTGAACCCAATCAAAAAATGTTATGGCCGAGCTTGATTATATAAGTTTTTTTAAAAGGGTAGGATATTTTAAGCTCGGTCTATCCAAATTACCACCTCTACCCTCCCTTTAAAAATATAAAGTGGTTTTTTAGGGATTTGATGTTTAAAAATATAAGGCATATTTAATCTTTTAAAATGTAATTTTTCCAAAAGTGCCTTATTGAATTAATCACTTTGCATTTTTTAAGGGTGAAATACCTTATTAAATAAAGGTAAATATGAAAGTATTGGGTTAATTTAAAGATAAATAATAATTTTATTGAAGAGTAAGATTTAATTAAAAATGCCTGATATTTTTAAACGAAAGGTGTGTGTGTGAGAGAAGAGAGTGTGTGTGAGAGAGAGTGAGAAGAACATCTTAATTAAATATAATGAATTTTTAACCTAAACTAAATATAATAAATTTCAGGAAAAATATAACGCATGCTCTTTAATTATGATTTTTAGTTGTTATAGTTATATAAATATTTGAAAATGGGACAACAAAATCCCTTTGAAATATATAATAACAAGTTGGACTCTCAAAATATCATAATTTTCCTAAAGTTTGTAGGAATTTTTTTGTCATTAATGAATTTATTAAATTACTAAATTGCTCTTGTTAAAAATAAATTATTCACAAGTTTTGTTTAAACATTTATAACTTTTTTTCTTATATTCACAATAATGTGACAGCAAATAAAAAATTCAACATGCGAAGTTGTGATTTATTATTACATTGTTGTGAATATAAGAATAAAAGTTGTAAATATTTAAATAAAACTTGTGAATAATTTATTTTTAACAAAGGCAATTTAGTATTTTAAATAAATTCATTAATGACAAAAAAACTCTAGAGATTTCGGGAGAATTTTAATATTTCAAGATACCAATTTATTATTTATATATTTTAAAGAAATTTTATTATCATTTTTTTAAATATTTTGTTATTCTCATTATATTTAATTTCATCCGTATGTAATGTTAATTGTTAAAATTTTACAAAAACACATAAAAATCATGAGCACATACTTTTAAAATTAATTTCATTGTAACCCTGATAACTCCTTTATCGATGCAATAAGAGTATGCCAATATAAAATTAAATTGAACAAGTACAATTACAAATAAAAGGTAAGGGGAAAAATGTTTTCCTGTATATTTGAATTTGAATGAAATAGAATGCAGAAGAGAAAGGTAAGATTAAATAAATGTCAAGAGGGTTAATGGAGTTAATCACAAGTAAGCAAAATTAACTCTGGCAATATTAGCTCATGATTTTTTATATGTATTTTCAAAAAGAAAAACATAATATTTGGTTTATATAATTTCATCATATTTTGTTTTTAGTCTTTGTAATTTTTTTAGTATTTTCAGTCGCTATAAGAACTAAATCTACTAAAAAATAAAAACTAAATGAACATGAAAAACTAAAGTAACCCAATTTTTCTGAAACTATAAAAATTAAAAATACTAAAAAAAAAACTACAAGGATGAAGAATAAAACTTAATAAAACTATAAAAATTAAAAATTATGTTTTTCCTTTTTAAAATTATAAGGACTAATATTATATATAAATCTAACTAAAAGGATTGCAAACAATGAAACAAAACTATAAAAACTAAATCAAAGAACAATACCTACTATTAAATTTTTCATGGGTTTCAATATATTTTTACTAAATTATTTTAATCTTTTCAACATAATCATTCAACAATATCTATACTAAAAGCACTGTTCGAACATATTTTAGTTGCTTCATGAATTTTACAGAATAACTTACCAATAGAAGCATGAAAAGTTTCTAAAATGTAATTTGTCAATAAAAATAGAAGGAGCGTATGTTACTTACTATTGTTTTCTATTTTTTTGGATATAATGCTACAACATCATGTCGTGTAGAACACATTAATTAATTTAGTCAAAATTAAGCCAAAGGAAGGAGAATCGAATACATATATATATATATATATATATAGAGCATTGTAAACTAGCCAATCAACATTGACAAAGATGCAAGTTGCATTAGTAGATATAAGCTAGTTATTTTTATTCTAATAGTAAAATAGTATGTTAAGGAGATAAGCTAAATTACTTGAATTTTCTCCAATTTTAAGCCGTGTGTATACAATATGTTACTAATTTTTTGGAGTTATTTGCAAAAATTTTAATATTTGGAGCTGTAAATGTAATTGTTAAAAAACCATTGTTAATCCCATACATTGCACGGTCTTGATCAAAAATTGTCTACTAAATCAGATTCTTACTTTGATTGTCATTATTTAATAAAACTTAAATAACACATTCTAATTTAGGATTCAAAGTTGATTGATATTTACGAGTCGTGTTTATTATAAAAACTAGCATGCAAAAGCTATATGAGTCAACAATAAATTACAAATAAAATTAAAAGACAAAAAATATCCCAAAAGTTTTTAAAAAGAGTAATAGTTATTATCTTTTAGTTGAAGCAATTTTAGCTTGTGGTTAGTAAGATTGTCAGTTTGACTGTAACTTTGACTTCTTTTGCAATGTGGTAGCCCCTCCCATTAAAAAAGAACAAATCATTCGCCTCTTTCCATTCTCTCTACTCTTGTTCGCCTCTAAATCCTCTGTAACATAGTTTTAGATTCACAAGGCAGGCTGAAACTCTCTCCATTACAACCCCTGTTGATCCATAATCGAGACAACAATTGAAAAAATTTGCTACCTTCGAATTCATTCCCTTCTCCTCAGCATGCAAGTTCCAAAATTTTCATCCATTTATCTTCTCTATTGTTGCCACCTCAAACTCGTCGTCCATCATAAAGATCTATCTGCCGTCATCGATGGGAAGTCACCATCTGCTGCTATTCCAGATCTTGCCAATCAAACCGATTGCTTTGAACCAATATCATGTAGTACACACACGAGCAGGAGTTTGTGTTGGGTATGCGATCTGACTCTGATCTCAACGCATGCATGAGGGGCTGCAACACTTCGAGAACTCCGATGGCTATTTTGTTGTCGTTGTCTAAATGTGATTCATCCCCCCTTCAAGATGTTAATGAGATAGGGGACGAGTCTTGATCAATCTTGTTGGGTGATTTTATGGTCTTTTTTTATTCTAAATCGCATATTAACTATATTGCCATACACAATGATCATAGAGTGATATTATATTTTATATATTTTTCTTAAAGCTCGCTATATTTAATTATGTAAATTACCTTTAATTATGGTCAACTACTATCATATATATGCCAGTATTATTAAACACTGGCGGCGAGCACTACTATCAGTTAATTTTATAACTTTAAATTTATTTTTTAAATTATATAATCAAACAGAATTTCTTTTTTCTATTTTTAAAATATTTTTAAAAATTGATTTATAAAATAGTTTTTAAAAACAAAAAATGGAAACAAAATCAAACAAGTCCTTAATCTATTTGTTTCCATCAAATGATTCCTATTTCTAATCTATCTTGATTCTTGAACACGAGTGATTAATTAATACGAATTATTTTAATTTCCTTTTCGTTATCTCAACACCAGCTTCACGCTTTTGTTAGGAACAGTTATAGGAATCACATACATGCACACACACGAGAACCGAGGTACAAATCACAGTACCAAATCAAATTTTAGAGGCCAAAAATTTCTCTCATTCATCTGAGTTTTTGATTATCATCTTCCCTTCCTTTTTCAAAACTTGTTAACTTTTATTCATGTGTTAGATTCAGTAGTCATGGATATGCCTGATGAGATGATGCTTGAGATCTTCTCATGGTTACCTGCAAAATCTATCTGCAAATTCAAGTGCGTCAACAAATTCTACAACACTGTTTCTTCAGAGGACACATTTTTCATCCAGAAGCAATCCCAGAATGCCTTGCTAAGGGATGACTCATGTTTCTTTCTGCAACCAAGCTCAGCTCATAGATATAGTGCAGAAATTGAGTTCCATCACCTAAATTCAAAGGACCCAATATCTGGTGTTTCTCATGAATTCTTACAATTTTTGGAATATTATCCAGCTTGCAGCATTGTTGCTTCAAGCAAGGGCTTGATTCTTGCTCTTAAAGATAAAGAGCTATTCATCTGCAACCCAGTAACACAATCATGGCTTCCTATTCCCACTCCAGACTTTTTGAAAAAATACCCAGATGCTGTTCTTAATCTTGCATTAGAGTGCAACATTCAAGACTCAAACGATTTCATGTTACTTCTATTTAAAGCTCAAGATGAGTGGACTTCTCAATATCATGATTTGAAATTTTACTCTGTAAAGGAAGGTGCGTGGAAGGCAATTGAAGCAGGCTTCTTCACTGGACGCAGACCGTTGAGATTCGACATGCATGTTTATCATAGAAAAGCCCTCCACTTCATATCAGATTTCTCTGCCTTTCTCTGCAACAAATATATAATGGCTTACAACGTTGAAGATGGAAGCTCAAGAATGCTTAGAATCCCTAAAGAAGCCAGAGTTGACCCTCGTGACTTGACCTGCCAAATGGGCATTTATAAATGGGAGAAATCAGTAAGTTCAGATGAGTCAATTTGTTTGGTGAGATTAAGGAAGAATGTTTTTACTGTCTGGGTTTTAACTGATTATGAGGTTAACAAATGGAGAAAGATTTTGGAAATAAGGGTGAAGGCAATGGGCATGAAAGAAGAAGATCCTGTTACTGTAACGGGATTCACTGTCATGAATGGAGATCGATTGATTTTCACTACAGAGAAGAAGATTTATGGATATGGATTGAGGCAGGAAATTTATATGAAGCTTGAAGAAATTAGTGAACATGGTTTTGGACGAGATGAAACACGTTTCACTGCCTACTCAGATACACTTTGTCCTTGTGGAGATGGTGCTGCAAAATTACCGTTGCTTCAACAACAATATTCATCTTCTTTGGTTTGATGTCACATTGTTTCGTTTATATGAGTGTAGTCTGAACTCATGTCATAAACTTGTAGGAAGAACTTTACTTAATAATGTCCATCTTTTATATTTTAATTTTGGTTTCTTTTATGTTTTGTTCTATTATTATAAAAATTCAATACATTTAAAGGCTTGGTTGTTAATCGTATAATTTATATAGTTGGCTCTATCAAATGAGAAAAAGCTTATTATTGTTATTTTATTATGACATTTTCCTAATTGTCTTCCTTTGTTTAAAATAATTCTGTTTCGGTCATCAATTTCTTACCATTTTTCTAATGTTTTCTCCCTATATTCAAAATTTTCTTATATTTATTTCTTCATTTTTCAACACCTTTATTTCTTCGATTTTTTGCCACTCAGATCAGGTTGGGAAAAAGTTGGCCCAAAGAAAAATTAATTTTTCCTAACTTAGACTATATAATCTATGAACTACATAAATTAACCTTGATAAGTGAGGATTGGGTCATTTAACTCACACTGTTTTTTAAAAAAATTAAAAAAGAAAAAAAGAGAAAATTTTGTGGGTATAAAATATATGGTGCATGACTTACTTAGCTGACTTAATTAATATATTTTATACAAATATTATAGTTTAATACATGTTTATCTCTTTAATTTATAATCTTAATACTTTGTTTTAACTTATCTTATAATCTTGAATCTTGATCTACATTTAATTCTAGCAAATATTTATAGAAAAGCAAATAAATAAATGTTTATTGATTTGTAAGAACATAATTTTAGTCAACATCTTAATAATTGTATAACTATTAAAAATTGAAAAAAGATTTAAAAATATCAATATGAAAAACAAAAACTATTACAGAATAAATTTTAATCCTTGATTTTTTTTAATTATTGATATAGTCTTTGAACTTTAAACTAGAACAGTTAACTTTAAATAACTTAATTGTGGTTAAAAAAAACCTTAAAACAACTTGATTTTATACTTTCTCGATTCAGTATAACTTAATTCTTATAATTTTTTAAATCAATAAGTTACACAAATTAAGTTACATTGTTTTAAAATTTAGAAACAATTGAGAAAAAAAGTTAATTAAAGGACTAAAATTATATCATCCCAATTTTAAATTAAACAGAATAAAAATTTAGATTCGAGGAGGGAAAGAGTGCAAGCCTGTATTAGCAGATAAACTAGTATTTTTAGGTTATAATATTATCTTTAATTAAATTTGTATTTCTATTAGTTCAAGATATTTTAAATTTAATGAAAATAGTGATAAATATATTTCTTATCTATTATTTTAAATTTAAAAAAAGACCTGATCAGTAGTCAAACAAGTATTTTTTTTAGGTTATAATATGATAATGCAATAAAATTACATTTCTTTTATTTTTGAAATATCTTAAATTTGGTAAGATAATGATAAATATATTTCTTATCTATTGACTACTCATGTTAAATTTAAATTTATTCCATTTTGAAATAAAATAACCATAATCGTCTAAGAAAAGAATCCTTATCAGATATTTTTAGGACCCAAAAAAATCGTTATTAAGTAGTATTTTTTTAATAAGAAGATTATCAAGTTAAGCAATTCATGGCTATAAATATATCATGAATTCTCATCGCACAGACTCATATTTGAAACAAATTTGAGGCTTGCGATCACAAAAGGCTTCTTACTTTGTTGGGGGAAAATTATTTGCAGACTACTATCTTGTTCATATAACACATATTTTCTGACTCATCACCCTAAGGTAAGTTATATTACTCATTCATAGGTTGTAAATATTGTATTTTTATAGAAAAGATTATAGTTTACCTGTTAAAGTCGTCTTCCATTCACACCAGTGGCCCGGTGACGTGTCCACTCATCTCATATTGAGAAAGACGTGCGTTCGATTCCGAAAGAGGAAAAATTTGCAATGGGTGCATGAAAGACTTCTAAATTTTAGTTTTAAGTTAGTTGGTAAAGAAAAAAATGTTTTAACCAGTATCTGCAAACAAAGTGATTTATTAATTTTATTGAATAAGTTTTTAAATGTTTTATTATTTCTATTTTTAAAAAAAATTAAATAAAAAAAATCGTTTAGATAAGTGTCTCGGATTTAAATATTTTTGAAATTTTTCAATTTTTTGTTTTTTAAATAAAAACTTTATCTGTTTTTTTAATATATTTTTCTTAAAGCTCGCTATATTTGATTATGTAGATTACCTTTAATTATGGTCAACTACTATCATATATTTTTCTTAAATCATTGGCGACGACTCACTACTATCAGATAATTTTATAACTTTACATTTTTTTTAAATTATATAATCAAACAGATTTTCTTTTTTTATTTTTAAAAATAATTTTTAAAAATTGATTTGTAAAATAGTTTTTAAAAACAAAATCAAACAAGTCCTCAATCAATTCGTTTCCATCGATCAAATGATTCCTATCTCTAATCTATCTTGATTCTTGAACACAAGTGACTAATTAATACGAATTATTTTAATTTCCTTTTCGTTATCTCAAAACTAGCTTCACGCTTTTGTTAGGAACAGTTATAGGAATCACTTACATGCACACACGCGAGAACCGAGATACAAATCACAGTACCAAATCAAATTTTAGAGGCCAAAAATTTCTCTCATTCATCTGAGTTTTTGATTATCATCTTCCCTTCCTTTTTCAAAACTTGTTAACTTTTATTCATGTGCTTGATTCAGCAGTCATGGATATGCCTGATGATATGATACTTGAGATCTTCTCATGGTTACCTGCAAAATCTGTCTGCAAATTCAAATGCGTCAACAAATTCTACAACACTGTTTCTTCAGAGGACACATATTTCATCCAGAAGCAATCCCAAAATGCCTTGCTAAGGGATGACTCTTGTTTCTTTCTGCAACCAAACTCAGTTCAAAGATATGGTGCAGAAATCGAGTTCCATCAACTACATTCAAAGAACCCAATCTCTGGTGTTTCTCATGAATTCTTACAATTTTTGGAATACTATCCATCTTGTAGGATTGTTGCTTCAAGCAAGGGCTTGATTCTTGCTCGCAGTGATAAAGAGCTATTCATTTGCAACCCAATAACACAATCATGGCTTCCTGTTCCAACGCCAGACTTTCTCAAAGAATACCCAGATGCTGATCTTAAACTCGTTTTAGAGTGCAACACTGAAGACTCAAATGATTTCATGCTACTTCTATTTGAAGCTCAAGATGAGTGGGCTTCTCAATGTCATGATTTGAAATTTTACTCTATAAAGGAAGGTGCATGGAAGGCAATTGAAGCAAGCTTCTTCACTGGTTGCAGGCCGTTGAGATTCGACATGCATGTTTATCATAGAAAAGCCTTCCACTTCATATCAGATTGCTTTCCTTTTCTCTGCAACAAGTGCCCTCATTTCAGACCATATATAATGGCTTACAACATTGAAGATGGAAGCTCAAGAATGCTTAGAATCCCTAAAGAGGCCAGAGCTGGCTCCCATGACTTGACCTGTCAGATGGGCATTTATAAATGGGGGAAATCACCGAGTTCAGATCAGTCAATTTGTTTGGTGAGATTGAGGAAGAAAGTTTTTACTGTCTGGGTTTTAACTGATTATGAGGTTAACAAATGGAGAAAGATTTTGAAAATAAGGGTGAAGGCAATGGGTACGAAAGAAGAAGATCCTATTATTATAACGGGATTCACTGTCATGAATGGAGATCGATTGATTTTTACTACAGAGAAGAAGATTTATGGATATGGATTGAGGCAGGAAATTTATATGAAGCTTGAAGAAATTTGTGAACATGGTTTTGGACGGGATGCAACACGTTTCACTGCCTACTCAGATACACTTCGTCCTTGTGGAGATGGTGCTGCAAAATTACCGTTGCTTCAACAACAATATTCATCTTCTTTGGTTTAGTTTCACATTGTTTTGTTTATATGAGTGTAGCTTAAACTCACGTCATAAACTTGTTGGAAGAACTTTACTGAATAATATCCAACTCTTATATTTTAATGTTGGTTTCTTTTATGTGCTGTTATATTATTATAATAATTTAATATATTTAAAGGCTTAGTTGTTGATAGAGCATGTGGTGCATTTCATATAGCTGGCTCCATCAAATGACACAAAGCTTGTTACTTTTGTTGTTTTATTATGGTTTTTTTTTTAAATTTTCTTCTTTTATTCAAAGTATTTTTGTTTCACGTTTCAACTAGCCATCAATTTCTTACAATTTTTCTAATGTTTTCTCCTTGTATTCAAAATTTTCTTATATTTATTTCTTCATTTTTCAACATCTTGTTTCTTGGCTATAATTCTTTTCTAGCTTAGTCGGGTTATATAAGTTGGCTTGAATAACTTATTATAAAGGTCGGATCAAGTTGGGGGAAAAGTGACTCAAATAAAAACGAGTTTTTTCTTATCTGAGTCATCTAACTTGTGAATTATTTGAGTTAACATTAATAGGTTAGGATTGGCCCATTTAATTCATATTATTTTTAAAAAAATTTGTAAAAAGGGGGAAATTTTATGGAGCATGACTTATTTGGCTAGTTTAATTTATATATTTTAATATTTTATACAAACATTATGAGTTATTTTGATATATTTAAAATGAATCATGAAATAATATTAAATTAGAACTCATCAATTAAATATATTTTTTTAAATTTATGAAAAAATAAAATGAAAATAAAATAAACGAGTATGTGGGTTAACCCATTTAATCCATCAAATCTTAAAGGTTAAGTTAGAATGAAATTTTTTTAACCTATATAAAAATAAATTGAATCCAACCCAACTCATATGGTATGAGTTAATTCATACTCCCAACTTTATAAAGAGAAGAATCTAATAGTTACAAAATTATAAATTATAAGCAAGAGAATTAGTGAGGCCCAAAAAACAAAAACAGAGAGAGAGAAAGAGAATAAGAGTAATCACAAAAAGTCATCAATATCTTTTGATAACTTAATTTTTTGTTTGTTTTTCTTCATAAATGTGAATCTCAATTTTAAAGGCTGCAAATCATGAAGAGTATTCATTTTTCTTCATAAATATTTCACTTGCAAATGAATAATAATCACAAGTTATTTATACCATTAGTGATATTTTTGACAAGTTAATTTCTTCTATTTTTTTATCAAACAAATTTTACTTGCAAATTTTGTTATTTTAAATATTTTGAATCGTAATATTAAATTAATCCAAGCTTTTTGCTCCGCTCATTTAAATTAATTTGGCTTTTTGATTATTCATTTCAAAGACTCAATCTATGCAAGAAAAGAATTCCAAGAGTTCTTTGCATTACTAGGAATGCTTCAATAACTCCTTAACCATAAGTATATGACATAATGAAGATGAAATATGCAGCCAAAACTAGGATGGTTTGACCTCCCCGGAAAAAAGGGGGGGAAAAGGAAGAAAAGAAAATAAAGGAAGAAACCAAAGATTTCTTTGCCATTCCTTTTCATGGTAATAATTGCTGACCCTTGCTCTCTGTCATTCGGTTCTCTGGCAGTTCCTGCAAGGCAGTTCTCTTCCTTTCCACTTCCTGCACATTAAATTAGATTGCCAGTGAAAAAGAATAACATAGTGAATTAAGATTGTTACTACGAATAGTCACTTAAATTTTATTCTCAATATAAATTGCAAGTGAAAGAAATTCAGCCTTATAAATTGCAAGTGAAAGAAATTCAGCCTTACCTTAACACTACTCTTCTCGTTATTGGTTTTATTATCTAATGATAAGTTCTTCAGCATCTTCTTGAGCTGCCGCATGCTTTTACTGGCCAGATCATCATTGATCTGGTTTTCCTTCTGCTTATCTCCCTCTTCATCATACATCTTTCTAACTGATTTAACTTCCACTGCTGCATTATCTTTCAGTGCTGACTGATCTTCACATGTAAACTGAATTGGAAAATCACTGGTCTTCAGCTCCGAGCTGATTGGAGCAGAAGTCAAAGTTGAATGCATCTCATCAGAGTCTTCCTTACATTCTTCATTGCCAATTTGAACATCTGTAGTTTCAGATCCTGCTTCAGCTTCAATAATAACCAAGGAAGATTGAGAATCTGCTTCACCTTGGGCATTCATATTTCCTTCTGAAGATTGAGAATCTGCTGCACGTTGTACATTCATATTTCCTTCTGACGATGGTTCATTGGAGGCCTCCATAACAGCATCCTTCTCTACATATTCCTTGGATTCTTCAATATCTGATGAAGTTCTAAATTCCAGTTCTCCATGAACAAGAGGAGACGTGTGCTCTTCGACTTGGACTACTTTGTTCTCAGCATAGAACATCTCTCCGGAATTCTGAATGTCACTAGCAGTTTCAACTGCTTTGATCTCAGCAGAAAACATTTCTTCAGACTTCTGATTGTCATAGGCAGTAGTTTCAATTGCTTTGTTCTCAGCAGAGATCATTTCTTCCTGAATGTCACTGGCAATTTCAACCGCTTCGTTGTTCTCAGAACAAAACTTTCCTCCAGAATACTGAGTATCATTGCCCACATTATAATGTTCACTTGCCTCATTCTTGTCAACAATCATAGAAGCATCAACCTCATCATCAACTTTAGAAACATGTATTTCGGCAGAGTCATCTTCCATTTTAATAACTACTTCGTCCTCAGCATGAGAAGAAAGCATTAGTACTGAGTTCTGAATGTCATTTCCCATATTTGAATGTTCGTTGCTCTCTTGCTTGTCATCAGAGAATGCATCATTCTCGGTACACGGGAAAATATTATTTTCTGGCTCTAAAGAATCACAAGAATTCTCAATTTGACATATATTCTCAGTTCCTGCAGAGAGTAATAACACCCATCAAATTCAACGTCTATTGAAGCACATACCATTGGCATAACAAGATCGTTGTACAAAAGAATTTAATACAAAAAGAATCATTCAACCAATGGGAAGGAAAACACACCTGATTCGTTATTAGCAGCATCCACTTCCTTGGCGATTGACTTACTTAATTCAACGTCCGACTCAGAACTATTGTTCATATCCTTCAATGGAGATCCCGATTCATTGATTTTCACGAGACTTTCTTCTGGTTCAGCCTCCAGACTTGCTCCTTTATCACTTGCCTCCCCGGAAACTAATGGCATTTCTGAATTGGAATCATTTGATTGAAACATACCATTGGAACAAAGATCTCCAAACAATAATAACAATAACAACAAAAGACGTGCTGTTGGGACTTACCCTTCACAGTATCTTCTGATTCTTCAATCTTCTGAGGAAGACCTGTCATTTCTTCAGATATCTCATCAACCTTCACTGATTCTGTTTCATCACCATCCATGAAAATTATCTTAGCATCTTCTGATTCCTCAATCTTCTGAAGACGACCTGTCATTTCTTCAGATATCTCATCAACCTTCACTGACTCTGTTTCATCAGCGTCCATGAAGCTTGTCTTAGACAAGTTCTTTTCTGAAGAGGTAAGCTCCGATTCATCAGTTTTCTCAGTAACTTCAGTTGATATTTCCAGTGAGCTAGCCCCTGCATGCCCTATGTTAATTTAGGACCCGAACAGAAAAAAACAAGAAATAGCTCGAGAACAATAAAAGATTTGACGCTTAGGAAACAAATACATCGGACCTACCGTTTTCACTATCAACAGAGTCTTCTATTTGCTTAGAAAAACTAGTCAATTCTTCAGAAGTCTCATCATCAACTTTAACAGATCCTGTTTCTTCCTTGTCCACTAAGCTCATCTTGGACAAGTTCTTCTCCAGCAACCTCACTGACTTCCTGGTATTGTAGGCCGAAGTAGATTTTACCCTACTGTTTGAAGCTGCGGGAGTTTTTGGCACTTGATCATTTGGCCTTTCATCTTCCTTCTTTCTGCGAGTGGACGCCGCTGGCGCTCTTCTCCTAGTTGTTGGCACAGCAGGAGTTACAGGAACATTAAGATCTTTGTTCTCTTGATCAGTTTCTTCATCATTTTTTGCTCTTGTCCCACGACGAAGCCGAGTAGAGATCTTGGAGCTTTCGGGCTCTTCCACAACTGGCTTTCTTCGAGTTGAGGTTCGGCAAGCTGGGGTTCCCGTGTCCTTTTCATCTGAAATTTTCTGGGCATCGCTGTCTAATGGGTTCAAAACTTCTTCTATCCCTTCAACCTGATACACTCAAGGGAAGATTTCAAAATCCATTATTAAAATCAGAACAAACCTTGATTAGAGATAGAGATAGTTCTTCAATAAAATTAAAGACAATGAAATTTTAAAGACTTTCTATTTTCTGTTATCCAATTAGACAATGAAGATGCTCAAAGAATTTTCCTTGACGGGTTAGAAAAGCAATCGGTTCATTTCGAATCAAGCAGTTAACCGAACCTGATACGATGTTTCAAAATAAATGGAAAATTATCAAAGGATATTCATTGCAAAATACAAAGGACTCCAAGAAGCACAATATCAGGTTCCGCATTATGAGAAGATCAGTTTCAACAACGAAGCACACTATATCATTGATTGATATTTGAAAACTTTTCTATGTCGCAGATTACCCAGTAAATCGCATTACATACAACAACGAAAGTCAGATTGGATATTGCAGGAGAAAGAGGAAAAAATAAAACACATTACTTGCTCCAGAGCTGCAAGAGAATTCGCCATAGCGACATTGGTCATGTTAGCGGGGATTTTGTTCTTCTTGCACAGGGCTTGCAGCTGCTTCCTTGATAGGGTGTGGAAGTCCATGATGATTAAGATATGCAAATGAATCAAAACAAGATGTTTTGTACTTGAGAACTGAGAATTGAGAAATGCGTAGAAGTGTCTGAATCCGAATGCAGATCGGCGAGCGAAATGAAGAAGTAGGGCGATTATATAGTACAGTTGGGAGGGAGATAGACGTTTGAGAACCCTAGAAATTATGACCGTTGGAGCGTGATTTGAAATTTGAATTTCTGGGTTATTCTGGGTCTCAATTTCTGGTCAAGTTATAGAGTTCGTTCTTTTAAGTTTTAACATCAACATCAATATTTTGTCCCAAAAAAAAAAAACATCAATATCAATATTTGGTTAAAAAAGGGAAAAATAGAAAATTAAACCAGAATGTTATCTCTAGTGATTTTCCCAATTTTTAAATATTTTTTTATTTGTATTATGAATGTATTATTATCCAGAAAATTCTCCTATTCATAAATGCATGGAATTAATTTTAAAAAATGTCACATATTTCAAAATAAATAAAAAATAAGATTTTTGCCAACAATGAGTGGAAAATTAAAAATAAATTTTCTTATTGAAATTTTATATATTAGTTAAAATTTATGTATTATTTTGATATTTATTATTATGTATAACTGTAATAACTAATAACAACATTTATTTTGAAAAACATGCAGCAATTATTTTTTATGAAAATTTTAGGCAACAATTTTAAAAATAATATTTTGATATATTAATATTCAGGAAAAATCAATATATCAATATATTATATTAAATCAAATCATCTTCTTCTGTTAAAGAAATAATTTTTTTTCATTCACATTTTTTCTTTTTATTTTTTATGATATTACAGAAAATAATTTACTTGCCTTCAAAGAAATCTTAACTCATTATGAACTAGACTTTTGCAATGCACAGAAGCATGTGAAGAGACACATATATGCTTCTTCTTCTTTTTTTTTTCCAAACCACACGGATGCATTAATTAATATTGAGCAAAATTTAAAAAATAATGAAAACCAAGATAAAAATCACAATATTCAATTGCTTAAAACCTGTAATTATAAATTGGAGAGGAAATCAGACTATTAATTGACTTGTCTTCCTACAAACCATCCATAAATATTTAGCTAAAAATAATAAAAAAATTAACACGACTGTATATTTTGAAAACATAATAATAATAATAATAATAATACACATAGATATAATTCACACAATGATCAATATTGTTAGTGACCTATGTGTTACAATGATACCAAGGCTCCTCCTACAACAAGGAGGATATATATTCGAACCCAGGATTAGATGCAATGGCTTGATTTGACTGATTCGAATATGAATTGTGGAGTAGTTAGTAATAATAACAAATATGAAATGAATTAATGCATGGTTTTATTTTAAAAAAAAAGAACATAATTTAAAATAAATAATGAAAAATAGTGCATCTTTTACTTTAGTTTTATATATTATGTTGATATTTCTTATTATTTTCAATTGTAATAAGTAATAACAATATTTATTTTGACAAAAAAAACAAATGTATAAAAGTTTCTTCATTCATATCTTATCTTTTTATTTATGATACTACATTCAATAACTATTTTTGATAAAAAAATATATGTAATAATTTTAATCAAGGTTTTAAGCCATCAAACCGATTGAAGCTTTGGTTCATAGATCAATGGTTGGACTGTGATTGAACCAAGATTGAATTAGTTAGAATTAAATTAGTATATTTAAAAATGTATGTTAATTATTTGACATAAAAAAACAAAGATAAAAATAAATTATAGATGATGGTAAAAAAATTATAGATAATAATGCAAATTAAATGAAATATAAATAATTTAACAAAATAATAATAACCTACAATAAAAATAATATACATATATATATATACATATATATATATATATATATGTATGTATGTATGTACACTCTTGCAATTAAAAAATATAAGATATTTTTACTTAAATTTCACCCTAATAAGTTAGTTAATTTATCTATAAATTGATGACATATATTTTTTACCATGGTGTCTCAATACGTCCTTTCATGCCTGATCCCATCTATTCATTTAATTATTCATTTGGTTTAATGGTTTTAGATTTTCAATTACGATATTAAAATAAATATACTATTGATTTAATGATTATCATAAATAAGCATTGCAAACATATTTTCAAAAGTATTTAAATGATAATATTAAATAATCTACTTATTTTAATGTCATAATTAGTAATATCACCATTAAATAAAAAATAATTAAATGGATAGATGTGATTGAATATCAAGAGATGTATAAAGAAAGGGTGTAAAAATGATACAAATCCCAGCCATGTAATTCCTTTGGTTCTATTTAGCGGACAAAAAAATTAATTGTAATCCCATTTATAGGGCATTTCATAATTTTCTAGGTTTATCTTTATATTTTTTGCTCATATTAAATGCTAAAAAAAATTATTAAAGATAATTATTTTTTGTCCTTTTTAGGGGTAGTATTGAAAACTTATTAAATTTTAAGATATAATTAATGATGTTTAAAGTTTTCTTTGATTTTGTTGCACAAAATAGGTACCCTGAGATATTCTTTTTGAATATGTATTTGAGACATATGGTGTGATGAATGTAAAAAAGCTTTTTTTAGTGAGGATGTGGAAAGTTTAAGGAATGGGACCGCAATGCTTCATAAAGTGAAGCATGACTTGCAACTTGTTAAGCAAACATTTACATTTAAAAAGCAGGCAAGTTTCACAAATGATCAATGGATGGGGCTTGAGTTGGGCTATGTGAGACTAGATATAGATGGTTTTGTGAAAGATGGTTTAGGCAAATGTGGTGATATAATCCGAGATTGGAATGCTAATTAGGTGGGTGGTTTTAATGTCTATGTTGGTTACTACCCTATTGTTGTGACTGAGTTATTGAGAATTATATATAGTCTTCAATTATGTTAGGACATGGGGCTGTAGAAGGTCAAAGTGTTTGCTGATTGTGTAGATGCAATGAACCTTCTCCTCAGATTCAACCAAGATTGTCACCTGTTTATGGATATTACCAATCAAGCCCAATCCCTTCTTTATAAAGAATGGAATATTTCAGTAAACTTCATATTTAGAGAAGCCAATTATTGTACTCATTTTTTGGTTAAGTTTGCTTTTGATAGAGTAGGTATGTTTCAATATTTTGATCAACCTCCACCTTTTTGTTTGAAGGTGGTGGCTGATGATAAGGAGGCTCATTCTTGAGTTCCTTTCTTGTAAGTTTTTTTTAGCTCTTGATCTCAATTGTAAACCAAAAAAAAAAAAAGCTTTCTTTGATTTCAGTGAAACATTTTGAAAATGACATGTAAATAGGACTAGATGAGTATAATTTATTTTACAAAAGGGTTATAATTTAATGTCAAGGCAATTGATTTATGGAAAAATGATAGAAAAATCTATTTAAATTAGGTAAATAACAGATTAGTCCCATGAAATAGTACAATTTTCCTAAATTTCCTTGGGATCTTTTTATCATTAGGGAATCAAATGAAATGACCAAATAAATAAAAATCTCAATCCTCACTGAAAAAACTTGTGAATTTTTCTAATTCATCTCGGGTTCTCAGGTTCTCCATTCACAACTTGATTCATGGTATGCTTCTGGTCTGTCTTCTTCTCATTCTTGTGTTCCTTTTTTTTTTTCAAGTTTCTGTACATGAGTTATTTATTTTGTTTGGCTACTGTGCGTGGGTATATATAGACAAACATTTTTCCTCAGTTACGTTTGTTGTACATGGGTAAATTTCCTCTCCTCCTTGAAATTTTCTCTTTTCATATGTGATAGTTGAAGTTGATGCGGGTTATTGTGTGTAAATAATTAAGGTTTTCATTTTCTCTCCATGCTTAAAGCTGAAAAATGTGGGTACTAATACTTACTCAAAAGGTATTGATAAATTACAATTTCTTGTTACATAATTACGAATTTTAGGATAAAACTTGTTAATATTAGAATCAAAGTTGTGAGTGGAGACTTATGAATTTTCAACTCTGATACATATCTGGACTTACACACCAAAACTTATAAATCAGGACTTGCGAATGATTAATAAATTATTATGAATTTAAGGACAAAACTTGTTAACTTAAGAACCAAAGTTATAAATGGAGACTTGTAAATTTTTAAGTTTGATGCTTGTCTAGATGTACAACAAGACTTGTAAATGGTTAATAAATTATTGCGTATTTAAAGACAAAAGTTGTTAACTTGAGAATTAAAGTTGTGAATAAATTTTTAACTCTAATGCTTGTTTGAACTTACACACCAAGACTTGCGAATGACTAATAAATTGTTGTGAATTTAGAAACAAAACTTTTTAATATTGAAACTAAAATTGTGAACAAAAACTTGTGAATTTTCAATTTTGATGCATGTCTGAATAAAAATGTCATATCCTTTAATCCTTTAATTCCTTAATGACAGAAGGATTTCAAAGAATTTCAAAAAAATTATACCATTTTATGATAACAATATATCATTTATCTAATTTAAATAAATCTTTATGTCATTCTCCCTTAATTTATTTATTTTTTATAAAATTGTGAAAATGACAATTAAGTATTAAATAAATCTTTTTGACATTTTTTAAAAAAATTTGAAAATATCATCAATTTAAAACGAAAATTTCAATTGCAGTTTAAGAATTACATTTAAAACACAACAATTTGATTAGTAATTAAAATTTTTGAACTTACAACAGTATAAATTTTTATTTCTAATTGCACAAGCACTTCTCATTAAAATAAAAAAATAAAAAAATCTCGCTTCCATCCCAATAACAATGAGTTGATGAAAACGAATGAACCAAGTATTGAAACCGAACAACCTGATAATTTGAATAAATTCTACTGATATTTCCTGGCATTAATGCATGAAGATCATCTTTCATCTTCTCTGGACCATCAAATTGCAAAAACAAAAACATATAATCCCCTAACTATGCTGTCTGTTTTCATGTATGCATCCATATACAAATCCTACCTGCAACTAAACCAAACACTGACCAAACCAAAGCAGCTTGCAACCACCTTCACTTTTCACAAGTTTATCCATGGAAACTGCTCTGCAAAATGTCATCAACTCATACACATTGCCCTTGGTCCAGAGATATTTTCTGATCAAGTGAACTGTCTTCTAATGTATGTGTCTTCATGTACAAACACTGGTTCTTGACTATTTTGGGTTGGTGGGAACTGTGGTTGTCCCATGGCTATTCCTCCTTGATTCGCTATCGACGTTCCATTGCCGGCGTTCTTTTCTGTGCTGAGGGTAATGTAGTAGACAATTCCAAATGCTGCACTTGCAAGGGATAGAAGTGCCCCTCCTGCAAAGACTCCAGGTTTCACCACATAGCAGTAGTAATTGCCAAAGTACATGCTCTCATCACCATGTTGATCATTAAGAGCAGCACCGGTTAGTAGCAGGAGAAACCCAATGACAAACGTGAACCTGTTTCACATAAAACCACAACGGTGACAAGCTGACCAATAAGCTAAGCGAATAAGTTGAGAACCTAGTCTCATAAACAAGGCTAATGATTCATGCCACGTAAAAAACAATCCTTAGACCACCCTTGATATGGTTGATAGGAATGAGATAAAATAGAAAGGTGAGGGGAAAAAAGTAATAGATGGGATGTGAAATGACAGTCATATTCCTCTCTATCTTACAATAAAACGATAAATAATGTAAAATAGTGATAACAAGAATATAGAAGACAAGTTTTTCTCTCCCCCCATCTTTTCTCTTTCCCTCATTCCAAACAAAGCCTTAAAAGTAGAACATGGTAAATTTCCAAGATATAAACAAAACATGCACAACTATTCTCATTGGCATACATGAATTTCATGTAACCACAGTTCAAGAAACCAAGCAAGAAGATTCCATTCACAAAGCCTTAGCCTCATACAGAAATGATTTTTTTCAGGTTTACAGAATTCGATGTGCATACAAGTGTTGAGAAGATAGACGATAAAACAAATGCATTGATTAGTTTGGTGGTTATTGTAACACGTTATAAGAAAACTACTCACAGCCTCCTCTGAATAGATTACACTTTTGCGCTGGAAAGGTCCTTTATATGACATCCAAACCCCTCAAAGTTTAGAAGATGTTTTGATCTGTGAACTGGCAGGCTGGAATGGGTCATATTGTGGTTGAATTAAGTGCATATCATGTTTTTCTGATGAAATCACTAATTATTTGTTAAAGTTTGCTGTTTCTCTTTACTTAGCTGGCAGTTCAAGATTCCAAATACAGCTCTAATAGGAACCGCTAAAGCACGCAAACACTACAGCCAGAACAGACCTAGTCAGTATCACCTCCTCGCTTCGTCACTACCTTTTGTCCCCTGCTGTATTTTTCTGCTGCTTGTATGGATTGAGTTTCATCAGCCTCTGAGGTTTGGATGTGTGATTTGGAAACTTGGTAAAAATTTTAAAAAATGGGGGGCTAAATCCATATCCTCCAGAATTTCTTATTTTAGTTTCTGAAAATTGGTGGAAACCCCTTCACTTGTCATCCCTCTCTGTTTCCTCTTTTAGAGCAAGGCAAATCAACCTAGTATCCTGTTTGTAACATGCAAATTTATCATTCAACTACAAGTTCATTATATTTAATTATTATGTGTTTAAAGATTGTTCATCTGAATCTTCCTGGAGCACATCAACGCAATTTTAAGGTCACTTTTATAAGTCTTTTTCCCAAACATGATTGTAGTCAGATAGAAGATCAATTGTTCTGGTTTACAAGAGGAAGGGCAAGGTTGGCACTAACCGCATTCTTTCTGGCATGGAAATAATAGAACATGGGGTTGAGATCGAGAGCCTCTAGATGGAGTTGGATAGCAAGATGTAAGGAAGAATAAAGGAATGTGGATGGGGTAAGGAAAACAAAGAATATGGGTTGTCTGGGAGCATCTAGTCCCCCTCAAAGCTCTATTCAGGTTTCCTATATTCTAGTCCATAATACTTTTTCAATTTCTCTTTGCCTTGTTACTGCCTGCCATATGGTTGTGCAGTAGATTGCTGTTTTCTGGATAAGTATCGAGAGCATTTTATCAGGTTAGGGTAGCAGGTTGCTAACATAGTCCCACTGAAAGAAAGATATGACCACTTCCACCTTCATTGGTTTCATTCTCTAACATGCAAGAAAACTAAGTCTTCAAAATCAAGTAGATTAGCACTCAAGGTTTGACCAAATGAGAACCCAAAAAACCAATTTCTATGCACCAAAGCTGCCCAGACTTCCTCAAACCACTTGGTTCTCATGTCAGAAAACTTCAGATCTTCTCTCTTTCCATGGCAATTTTTCTATTGTATTACACTACAAAAAGCTAAAATCTAGTAATTTTTCTCACTGGTGAATCTGAAAATGTGATGGAACCCTCTATTCTAATAAGCTTTAAACAAGCATAAACCAGAAACTACACCACAAATGGGGACTGAAAATTACTATTACCGAATAGCAAAGTTGGATTACAGCGAAATAAGGAACTGAAAATTACAACGTACTGAAACAGAAACAGCACAGAATACACTCCACCAAACAACAATCACAAAATATAAGTCACTCACTTACAAACATACACTAAGCAGGAGATAAAATGATGAAGAAAGATGATTTCCTCCACCCCCAACCTGGCATTCGAGAGGCCAGAGCTCTCCTTACCACTCTCAATATTCAAAATAATCCCCCCTCTCTCTAGGCAAGGAGGAAGATTTAAAGACCTAAAAAGTGACTCTAGCACAGCCTTTACCCCTAGAAGACCCTTAACCATCACTAGGACTCTAGCACATCACTAGGCCATCAATTACTTTCTTTTTTCCCCTCATAACCAGGATCCGAAGGGCAAACATCTGAACCAACAATAATGTTATCTTTTAACCTCTTGCCTTCCTTGATTTCCTCTTATAGGTCTTAGTAAAATCATGAGCTCTATCAAAATGCAATCCCAATACTCAAAATCTGATCTATAGCTAAATGACATAAAATTCTGAACTTTTATGTAAATAATTTAAAACTGTATTTTAGCCACACACAAAAAATCCCCATGAAGGGAATCCATATGCAGCTTTAAAATATTTAATAATAATTTGACCCAATGCATTCTTGCCCTAACCATCTGTTGTTGTTTGGATGGGACGAGGGGAGGGGAGGGCCCTTGTTTGACAATACTATAGTGGAGGGGAAAAAATTTCCCCTCTCTGTCCTCCTCTCCTCCAACCAAACATAGTGTAAATGTAAAACCCACACAAATGGACAAAAAGTTGAACATTTCATACTTGATGTATAATATCATTAGGAATATAAGGATATTTTGGTCAAAAAAGGTACTATTTTAGTTTTTTCACGTTGCATGGACAATGGAGTTAAGTGGAGCATATCTTTTGGTTTTGGTAAAGAGACGTGTGATTTCTCAAAATATAGGGAAGAAAGATAAAATTTAGGTGTCTCTTGAGGGAAGGAGAATTGATTTACTCAAACAAATAATCATAAATCAACCCCTTTATTGATACAGTGATCAGAGTTTTGAGACATTGATCAAATTTGCAAAGTTTCAACATGAGTCTATTCTGAAGATACTAAACTATAACTATCTTTGCTGAATGTTGAGAATTTCTAAAATTGAATTATATGAGGAGATATGACTAATATTGTCTTTTCCTTTGCTCATTTCACTTAGAAAATGAAAATGACTATCTTTCTACCATTTCCTAGAGGTTGCATCCTTCATTTTACATCTTCAAAGAAAATATCTCAAGCTCAGATTCCTCTAAAACCCAACCTTGGCATTGAAGGATGCCATCTCCAGCTGCTCGTGTTTCTATTTCTTGGCAGATTACTTTTGTTACTCAAACAATTATCTAATCCTGAAGACAATTAAACTATAATGACAAGAAATTGGCATATTCCTTGCAAGAAGCCTATGTCATATGGTCCAGCATCTACTTTGAATATATTGTGTTGAAAATAAAGGATTAAAACTCGACCAGATCTGGAAATATTCCCAGATGAAGGGCATCACACCAGAGCTGGAAATGTCATGTGATCCCCTTCTCGATAAAGAATAAACAAGACTTGGCTACCATTAAGTTCCTATATTTTAGCAGTAGTCATCTCATTTAATTCCTAGCTGTTGGGTATTTAATGCTCCAGATATGTAGGCCCTGAATGTATTTGTGTTCCTGTTTTCCCCTTTTCTGGATCTTCTGACCAGCACTCCTTCACCCCTATTTAATGTAGTTTCTAGTCTTTGTATACAAGTTAATCATCGTCATTCACTGACAAAACTTATATTTCTCTGCTTTTCATGTAAAGGAGTGATGATTGACACACTCTCTGTTTGAGTGTATTTTTAAATTTTTTTTATTATAATTATTCTTCCTTGCAGCACAGCATATAGGGTCCTGAGACTTTAGTATTTATTTCTAGGGTTAGTCATATTTTTCAATTAGTCATATTTTCTATTAAATATTCCGATTTATTATTTTTTCAATTCAGTAAATAAGTGAAATTTACCCTAGATTCCAGAGTTAGCGAGGCAGGCTTGTTGTCTCCAAGTCTCTTTATTGCGTCACTCAATAAAACCATCTATCAGACTGAGAGAAACATTGAACTCGGCCAAATTCTTCATGGTATTAGAGCCACGGTCCAATATCACGACTTCCATGCTCTAAATTCAGAGAAAGGGAAAACTCAATCCCAGGGCTCTCAAATATATTTATAGGTCAGTCACACTCAAAAGGGATATCAATGCTATCATCCAACCTCAAAGAAATTCTACACTGCCGTTGATGTAACCTTCTGTGAAACTACACATTTCCCCAAAACACCCATTCAGAGGGAGCACCAAGACACTCCCTGTTTTGGCGTCCAACCAATGCAGCACAAGCACAAAATCCCTTCTATTTCTTGTTTAGCTTCTAATTCCCTCTCCCCTTCTTCCAATACCCTGTCCCCACACCAGGTTTTTAATTTTAAATTTACTAACTGTGTTTTCATTTTCTTTTTAATATAATTTTCCTTATATTCAAAAAGGCACAAAATCTTGAACAAGCACCACAAGATTCTGAATTCATCCCTAAACATTCTGATCCAGACGATAATTCTGCAGAAACACCTAGTCCACATCCTGAAATACTTAGCCCACAGCCCAATACTAAATGAGATTAACCCTGCTACAGTCCAGCAAGGAGCTCAAACAGCAATGCAACAATCTAAACAGCAAAATCTCAGCACTGAAACCCATCCAGCATGACCTCCAGAACAGTGTCAATTATCAACCTCAGCTTCAAATCCTACAAGAGATGATCTGACATGGCCTATAGCACTCAGAAAGAGGATAAGATCATGTACCAGACACTCAATTGGGAATTTTGTTGGCTACGAAAAATTATCTACTGCTGAAATCATTTGTACATAGCGCTTCAGCATAAAAGATTCCAAAGGATGTCTATGAGGCACTAAAAGACCGAACTTGGGAAAGCTGCAATTAACGAAGAGATGAAGGTATTGACAAAGAATGGAACCTGGGAACTCACAGAATTTCCCAAGGGTAAGTCCACTGTGGGAAGCAGGTGGGCACTTACAAAGAAATACAACCCAGATGAGCATTAATCGCTATAAAGCAAGGCTTGTAGCCAAAGGATACAATTTGACTCCACGTATTGATTACCAAGAAACATTTGCTCCAGTTGCAAAATTCAAAAACATCATGCTAATTCTCTCACTTGCCTCCAATTTAGGTGGGGCCTTTATTCCAAATGGATGGAAAAAATGGCTTCTTGAATGGCATCTTGGAGGAGGAAGTTTACATGGATATACCTCCAGGTTTTGAATCTGATAGAAATCTCAATAAGGCATGCTAGCTAAAGAAACATTGTATGGTTTGAAGCAGTCCCCACACACTTGATTTGAAAAATTCACTAATGTGATATGAAAACATGGCTTTGTTCAATGTCAAGCAAATGAAACACTATTCATGAAACATTCTATAAACAAATGTTAAGCGTGTATGTAGATGACAAAGTGATAACAGGAGATAACAAAGATGAAATCCACACACTGGAGAAACTGTTAGCCTCAGAATTCGAAGTCAAGGATCTAGGAAGTCTAAGGTACTTTCTAAGAATGGAAGTAGCAAGAACAAAGAGAGGAATAAGTATCTCACAAAGTATACCCTGGATTTGCTCCAAAATTAAAGAAGAGTCCTCTAGTTAATATAGAAAGGTACCAGAGTTTAATTGGGAAATTGATGCACCTCACTCGCACTAGGCTTGACATTACATGCATAAACCAAAGGAAGATCACTTAGAGGCTGCTTATGAAGTTCTCATATATTTAAACTTGGCTCCTGGAAAGGAGCTCTACTTTAAAGAGGGCACCCCATAAGGGAGTTGAAGTGCCTACAGATGCTCATTTGGCCGGAACAACTGAGGACAACATATCAACAATAGGTTACGTTACTTTCATGTGGGGTAACCTCATAACATGGAGGAGCCAAAAACAATCAGCGGTATCACACAGCAGCAGTGCAGATTCATAACTTCAAGCACTTGCCTTAGGAATTTATGAAGGCATGTGGATACTTAGATTGTTGGAGGAACTCAGGACCAGCATTCATGGTCCTATGAAATTATTTTGCAACATCGTATCAACAATTTAAATAGTCAAGAATCCCATTTACCCTAATCCTAAAGCTAATCGGTTAACTACATACTTCTTCCCCGTCTGAAAGAGATACAGAGTCAATCTCATTCACAATTAAAATAGTCAAGAATCCTATTAACCATTATAGGACCATGCATGTGAGGATAGACAAGCATTTCATTGAAGGAAATATTGAAATGGGAGTTGTGGAAGTGCAGTATGCTTCCTCAAAGTCTCAGATAGCTAATATCCTAACCAAGTCAATAGCAACAGAACAGTTTGTATCATTATGTGGCAAGCTTGGCATGATAGATATCTACAGCCCAGCTTGAGGGGGAGTGTTGAAGAGCAATGATCGACACTCTCTATTTAGTGTATTTTTTAATTCTTTTTTTTATTATCATTATTCCTTGCAGCACAGCATATAGGGTCCTGTGACTTTAGTATTTATTTCTAGGTTAGTTATATTTTTTAATTAATAATAATTCTATTAAATATTTTGATTAGTTTTTTGATTCAATGAATCAGAGAGATTTACCCTAGATTCTAAAGTTAACGAGGCAAGCTTGTTGCCTTCGAGTCTCTATTTATTGCATCACTCGATAAAACAATATATCGGATGGAGAGAAACATTGAACTCAGCCAAATTCTTCACTTTGGACACATTCAATTTCATATTGTATCCAAATGAATGAATTATTCTCATTCATATATGCTGCCCACCAATGTAGGCCTGTTCAAACTTCAAAGCCAAATTCTCTTTAGATGAATGAAATTCATAATTCTACTTCATAACTAAGTAATTGGCAACATTAACAGAGTTCACGAGGAATAAGAGGAAGGGAACTACTAAGTGAAAATTACCAAGATAATACAAAGCAAACCAGTGCCAGCCTCCAACTGGAATCAGGGATTCGAGGGCTTCTTCTACAACAAATACACCCAGTTGAAACATTTATGACGATTTGAGCAATCATTAGAGCCAGAGCTGCAGTTAAACCAAGAGGTAGTGCCGGACTTCGAGGATACACACATTGATCAGGAGGATCAGTTGTAACTTGAGAACTCTGTCAAGATACAGCACAGTATTTCAGTGGTTTTTGTGGATGATGTAGAAATAGCAAAGCATACAAACAATGCCAGGGTTAGCAAGTGCAACATCAATAGCCTTCCTGATACAAAGTAAATCATATTACTAGTCCGACCAGGATCACATTCGGCAAAAATCCTACCATCAAAGTTCACATCAATTACCTAGACTTATTACCAACAAAGGTTGGTTCAATTGATAAAGAGTTGGTCCATGACCCACAAGGTTGTAGGCTCAAATCCTGTTGCCGATGTGAAAACCTTGTTGATAAGTGATTTAAGTACCTTTATAAACACTTTTTGGGTCTAGAGGCATGCCTTAGTCCTGGTAAACCCTCCAGACCTAACTCACCTAAAATTTTATGTATTAAAAAAAATTACCTAGGCTTATTTTCACATTTCAGGACAGAAAAGGAGAGCGTACTAAAACAGGAAGATAACACAATAAAGGGGAACAGACAAGCATTAAATTTATATTTAAGGATAGCAATTTAGGAAAAACTTGCAAAGTTCCGACTCGTCCCTCCCTGTTTGTATCAGATAAATCAATATTTGATGAAGTTTCCTGCGTGTTTGGAGATAAAAGAAAACCTAACTTCTATAGTTCAATTTCGAGGTGAGATTAGGGTTCCTGTCTCATATCCACATGCAATATAAATTTACAAAATTTCAGTGGTAAGATTCATTCTAAAATTAAATAGTTGGCTTTCAAACTAAAATCTACCTTGCTACAACATTGCCATCCCCACTAATAGCAAAATATACGGAAGGCGACAAGGGTTTCAATGCCGTACTCATCCCCCATGTACTGTTAGACCTAACTTAGGCAGTTCTTTAACGTTCTGATTACAATTATCGCTTTTGAATTAGAAAAAATAGTTTTCTCCACAGTCCAGAGGTCAGTACGATCCCCATCCCCGCTTTCCATCCCATGAACACCGGATCCAACACTACAAAGAGGTGATCAAATTAACTCCTCAATAGTCCGAAATTTGTACTTTATGTTTTCTTCAACCGTTCCAGCAGCCATCGAACTGATGAATAAAACACAACCACAAAACAAGAAAAGGAAAAAGAACAACCAACAGTTCGAATCAAACCCTTAAATCACAACACAAAAGTCACCTTAATCCGAGTTCCCTCTGCAGCAAACCCTGTCGCAGCCGATAATATCCCCAAGAAACCCACAACCCCACAAACCACCAGCACCTTCCTCTCCATATCTCTCTCACTCTCTGTGTGTCAGTCAAAGTGTCTTCCAAAGTTGCGTGGGTGAACTGGTGATGATGATGATGAAGAAGAGGATGGAAGGGTAAAGTCGATGGAGGCGTACAAGCTGCGAAATGTGAAGTGTGAACGGAGTCCTGTGTTGTCTTCTCGAAAAAGGATAACCGAGTTGCCGCTGGAGTTTGCATAAACGAAGCGGTCAAGCCGTCAAAGCCCGTATTATTTATTCAGCCCATGGTCTCAGCGGCTCACATCACAGATTCCGAAGGTAACGTTACGAAATACTGCATGTCGTTTTCGGCGTTCATGAATGAGATTTGATTAGAAGTCTAAATTTTATATACTTAACATATTTTTATCATGTATAAAAAAAATATATTTTTATCCTATAAAATTAAAATAAATAAATTTAGTATAAAAATAATATTAATATTAAATTTTAATATAAAAGTTAAATTTGATAGTAGTTGATCAGAAAAAAATTAAAAAATATTTTAAAAATTATAAAAAATTGATCAATAAATTTTTTTGCCTTTTTATATAGTGTTTTTTATCTTTGTTTGCAATTTTAATTTAAAGTTAATTTTTATTAATAATAAGAGCAAGATTGTACAGTTTTAAAAAGTTAAAAAAATATTGCATAAAAATAAGCTAAGGTTTTAAGTACATTTAAACCTATAATTTAAAGATTAGTTTACTCTTTTAACCAATAAACAATATTTATATTTTAATTACAAATAACATAAATAAATGAATAAATAATTTTTCTTTGATTTTGTCTTATCTATAAGAATGAACAGAGGACGACGATTCAACCAAGCGGGCAATAAACTTTATTACGATAGGAATCATGTTTCCTTTTAAAAAAAATCAAGAAGACAAAAAAAAAAAAATAGTCCGATAATAAATATAAGCATCATTGTTGTCTGCTGTAAAAACAGAGTAATTTCGGATTTACTAAGATCTTCCCCAATTGCCTTACCATAATCTTCCCCTTCTCTCTTTTTTCAGCGGTGATATCAATATTTAGATAGTTTAGATTTAATTTTTTATAGAATTATTGTCAAAGTGTTAAATTAAAAAATATAAATGATTAAATTCAAATTTCTAAAATTTGATCTAAGAACAATCTAAAATCTAAAATTGCCTAAGGGAAATGAGTATTTTTTTAGATAATTTGAAGATTTTATTAAAAAAATTATTTTGTAAAGATTTTATAAAAAATAGGCTATTTAGTTACAATAATAAAAAAATAGTTATTAGTTAGCTCTTTTTAAATTTTGTTATAATTTTCTTGATTTTTGTTTTATAAAATTGATTTATTACTATATCATTTCAAAATTTTATGATATCTTCATGTATGCTGTATCTTTGAAACACTCTCACTGATCTATCACATTGGATTATTTTCAAAAGCTACTCTAAATAACTTTTTAAAATGATCAGGAATCTACTTCTTTTCATATTTTAATTATTTTTAAAAAATTTAAACAAATATCATAAAAACTTACAAAAAAATTCAAAAAATAAGGAATTTCTTTATAAAATAAACTAAAACAAACGAATCCTAAATATTAATCTAATAGCTAGAAAGAGGGAGTTAAAAATGAGAAGGAAGATGGCAGAAAAATCCCCGTCGCGAGTTTACAATGAGAGGAAGTATATTCTCGAGTTTAAACATGAGTAAAATACACTAATCTTTCATATATTTTGTAAAAATTACAAAGACTTTTGCTTATTTTTAAAATATATACCTTAGTTCAATTTTTAACAAGTTAATAATATTCCCTTAATAATTCTAAAATATTTATTTTTTAATTTGTAATTGTGTTAAAAAAATTAAAATTATTAATTTGTGTTTATAATCTAATTGGCAACTCTTTCCTCCTCAATTTAAGGAACTTTAAATAATTAAGTATGACAATATTTAAATAAATTTTTAATGTATTGTATTAAAATTATAAAATTTATAGTAATAAATATAAATTATATTTACTAATTTATTTCTTCTTATATTAAAACCCAATTTCATTATTTTTTTTGGAAAAATGACATTAAAGTTCCAAAATAATGAATTTATAATTGTTAAATCCTCAAAATAATTTCTGAAAATTGGTTGTAAATCTTCATTTTTATAATTATAAATTCAGAATTTTTAATTATAAGACATTTAAATTTTAAATAAAACTCTCAATTTTTAGTTTGGATTTTTTTTTTGGTAATTATTTGAATCAATATTCGTAACTTCTTTTTTAGAAAATTTTGTTGAAAACCTAACTATTATAAATTCCCTATCATAAACTTTTTTGTCATTCTCCTCAAGTTTTTTCATACACACATGTTTGAAATATTATTTTAACCAACTTATTTATTAATTTTTTTTAAAAAAATGCTAAGTAAATAAATTTTCAAAACTAAAAACATTTAAAATTTGAATAAAAATTTAAGAAAAATATATTCATTATTTTTTATGGTACCTTAAATAATTTTTAGATAACATTTATACTTGAAGAAATGTATTTCAGTTTAATATATGTGACTTGATAATCAACTGACAATTAAATTAATGGAAATGAAATGTTAAAAGTACAAAGAAAGTTTATGTTTAGTAACTATTAATTTTAAGAAAGGTTAGAATGTGTTTTAAAACTAAAAGGGATGTATTTGTATTTAAAGTAAAAATAGAGTAAAGTCAATATATTTTACTCTAAATATATTTTCTTAAACTGTATTAAGATGAAATAAATGAATGAATTCAGGTTTGTTTATATCAAAGAGGACAGAATGAAACATCTTTCGAGAAGGACGTCATATATCCTTTGTTTAGATTTAAAAAAAAAAAAAAACCCCCTCAAAGAAGACCTTTTCACGATCATTCCACTTACTCACTTTATGCCCCCAAACAAATGAAGATGAGCATGTATTGAGATCAGGTATCTTAGTAAAAGTTTAATATGTTTATGCGATATTTTTTTTTTTATGTTGTAAAGGCAATATTTTTTTCCACATATTAAACATTATCTTAAATTTCTGAACCTGATTTTTCTAAATCCTTTTTTTAAATAGAGGTCTTGATTTTGTAGAGAAAGGGTTACTTACAAAATTCTACTGGAGCAAAGAATCCAATTAAGTGCACGGAATTTGTAACCATCTAATGTCAACTCTTAACCACTAAGAGCATATTTGGTTTCATGTTGAAAACTCCCACCAAAACTGTGGTTTTGGTAGTTTCTATTGTGAAACCATACATAAAATAACGTTTGATAAAACATTTTTTTTTTCACAAGCTAAGACTTAAGTAGAAGCTAGTGTTGTCTATTTTTGTATGAATTTCCATTTGGGCACAGTCCAACAACTTCAGTGACTCAATTTGCAGAACATATTTACCATAATGAATCATGCTTCATCCAGAAATGGAAGTTGCTTTTGAGATGAAAGCTCAAAGATGGAGACAAGTAGATTTGGGAGGATTGCCAATAAAAGCAGCTATTGACAGAAGAGAACTTCACTGAAGACCATAAACAAGCAAAGCTCCTACTGCACCTACACCAGCAATCAGACCAATAATGACTCCAATTGGCGGCAAAACTCCACCAATCGCTTTCCCCGTGTTCACGTCGTACCGAGCAAACCTCTTCTTCGGTGCCTGGCACTGGGGGCATCCGTATGTATCAGGCTGCAAAAGACAAAGAGATTAGATATTATGGATGTTGTTGAAAAGGAAAATTTGGACATTTAAAACTCATATCTTGTGAATAGCTATAAATCCATGCAGATCTCACGCGAACAAAAGTGAATGCATGTGAATATGCGATACATTCGAAAGGAGACAAAGAAAAGAGATTATGACTATGAAGAAGGGATGTGAGTTTCTAAGGGAGACTTGGTAGTATGGATATCAAGTTGCATATTGAGTAGTATTAAGTGCTAGCTTTTAAGATAGGGTTCTTCATTCCAGTAACTTTCACACAGTTGCATTCTTTTACATCACTCTCTCTTCAAATATACATACGCATGAACTTAAGGGATTTAGAAAGGTTATGCATCATTAAGGAAATAAGAGCTATTAAACACAACTTGATGGGAGTTTCTATCAGGCAGATCAATATTGTCAGCACACGACAATTAACAAACAATGAAAATGCAGCCACTTAATGGGCAAACTGATGACATGAATACCATGATGAGAAGTAAAAGTCATTAAGTCAACCATCTCCTTGTGCTAGGTTTTTTCTCTTAAAAATATTATTTTTGGACAGTATTCTACTGCTTATATGCATATCTGCTTTTACCTGCTCATCGAAAGGTTTCTGTAGGGTGTATATGTATCCACAATCAAGGCAAATGTGAGTAGCTCTAGCCTGCATGCATGGTGGGGCACCTTATTAGCCATTGTATGTACAAGATACGGCAACAAGAAGATAAACAAACATGAAGCAGCAATAGAAAGCAAGTAACACCATAGCGATACTTGCCTTTTGAGCATCAGTCAATTTTCTTCCAAAGCGAGGAGGAGCAGGGCGTTTCTGAAGTCTTTTAACATCTACATCAGCACCTCTTCATTAAGAAAATGAACATATTATAGCTTGAGAACTCACCACGACCACCAATAAGAATGACAAAATAATAATCAAGATCGCATGAAAATCACACAGCCATCAAGGCTGGAATATCTGAAACCTCTCCTGCACTCATGTATAGACTATGCGTTTGATGCTGTTATAAGAAACTGATGTACATGATTAGTGTTGTACAAAAAAATTTTGCGAAGGAAGTGTCACTGAATGCATACCAAAATTTAATGCTGTTCAGACAGCTTAGTTATTTTTGCTTTTGATTTTTGTATATTATTTGTCCCATTGGTTAATTAAACTAGTCCAGCGTTTGTCAAGCTATCTATAACACTGATTTCACTGTTTGTCCCAATCATGCTTCATCAGCATGATCACTCACTACACGCATCACAAAATATTCTCATGAAGCAAGCCAATTTTTTAGCATACCAGGATTCATCAGGCCAACTAGGAATTAAAGATTAAAGGAGATACCAATTCACAAGAACAATGGCTGACCTAGGACCCGAGGCTGGGGGGGCAGAGATATATATATATATATATATATAGATTTTGCGAGGCATAAATGATATACTTCATCGATAGCAAAGTTTAATTTGCCTCCAGGTACTGAAAGAAGTGAATAGAATTGTATGAACTAGATTTCCTATATATGCAAGAGTTGAAATTCAAATTCCAACCACTTGTTTAAATAATGAGACCTTTACCATGTATACCAACTTGATTTTCTAATAAACAATGAGTTGAACATATAGAGGTCAAAATTCTGTTGGCAAAAAAATATAAAGCTCAGAATTATTTAAAATTATATAAGTATTTAAACAAACTACTTACCTTATCACTATTTATGGCTCATGAATAATACAATTTTCTATAACTTTTATAAACATACCAATGATATTGTTTAGAATCCAAATATGGTAAATCATGCTTCAAGCAAAGTGTACATCTAATTGATAAAAATGCCAAAGAGTTCACAAATATAAAAAATAAGTAAAAATGAAAAACTATATAAATGATTCTGGAAAAAAAATATAAAAAATAATATAAAAGAAAATTTCTTTTTCATGGTCTCTTCATTATAGAGATGAGTAATACAAGATTGAGAGGGTGCATTAGTGGATTTGGGCCACATTCCACTGGGTTCAAAAAATGAAGATGAGTGGGGGCATGATACAAAGTCCTAAATATATATTCGCGTAATTTTTTTAATTTCAGGGGAGGCATTTGTCCACACTGAAAGCAACCTACGTCTGCCTCTGACAAGTTGAGTTAATGACAACTTGAGCTGTGTGCATGTGCATTTGAGTACGTGTTAATCAATAGCAACTCAGTCTTTTAAGAATTTCTCATGAAGCAGACCAGTTTTTTAGCATACCAGGATTCATCGGGCCAACTAGGAACTAAAGGAGGCGTCAATTTACAATAGAATTAGAAGCTAGAATAAAGATCTTTATCCGCTCGAGTTAATGACAACTAGAGCCATGCGCATGTCTGTTTGTGTACGTGTTAACCAATAGCAACTCAGACTTTAAGAACTTCTCACAAAGCAAACCAGGATTCATCTGGCCAACTGGGAACTAAAGGAGACAGCAATTTACAAGAGAAGTAGAAGCTAGAATAAAGATCTTTATCAGCTCGAGTTAATGGCAACTTGAGCTGTTTGCATGTGCATTTATGAAAATGTTAATCAATAGCAACTCAGTCTTTCAAGAATTGATGCACTTGAGCAATTGACAAAGGCTTGAAAACTCAAGAAGTGTAGAATGTATAAAACCTGCTGACAACAAAGTAGACAGAATCAGGCTTTGCTTGAATGGCAGTTTTTGTAAATCCAAGCTTATCAGCTGGCCACAGTTCATCCCCAAAGAAACTGCTAGTATACAGGACTTGGTCCCCCGCTTTCAGCCCTGCTCTAGCTGCATTCCCGCCACCTTCCACACCCTAAAACAGACCATAAGTTTCCATTAACAAGCGAAAAAACTAATATATATTGGCCTGATTGGTATCACAAGGAAGAAGCATTCGTTTTTCATGACCATATGTTATCATTTTTTATCTATCATTGCTTATTTTTATTTATATTTTAATCTAAGGACACATGTATCATTTTTACTTATATTCCAATCCTCTTTTCATTTTCACCCCTAACATTTTGCCTGTCAAATGTGAGCATGCCTAAACTAAGGAGAATGAAAGGGGGCCAAATGAGAGGAAATTTTGAATCTTACAAATTCTTTTTGCCGTCCTCATCTCATCCGTATTTTCCCTCCCCAAGCATATTCTAAAGGAAAAGCAGTTACATTTAAAACTAAATCAAAAAATATCTAAACTAAATTTATGTTCACTTTTCTCCCATTCTCCACAAAATAAATGTATCCACTTGAAGACATTGATGAATGTATAATCTTTTAATCAAATTAAAATCCCTAAACAAAATAGCTTTCCTTTCACATGTAATAGAGTTCCAACAGAAATCACTTGGCCCTGTAAAAAACAACTGCACCAAGCTTCCGAAAATGCTGGTTTCTGCACACAATAAATTGGGGAAGAATCCCTTTGAGAAAATAATTGGGTTGGAACAATCTGATGAAGACATGCAACAGTAATCACCGAACTGGCTAAATTTTCCATCAAAAGTAGAAAGCAAGCTACTCACAGTGATGACGACACCGCCACCGGATTTCTGTCCTAAGGTGAGACCAAGTGGTTTATCGACCTCGACCTCAATCGTCTTTGCAGCACCAGCAGTTCTAGCTGCAATCTCAAGTCCTCTTCTAGCAATGGCGCAACCCTTGCTGTTCTCGACCACGAAGAAGGAATCCGAAGCAAACCTTTTCGCTTCACGAAGCGAGAGGCCCTGGAAAGACGTTTTCTGGAGAAAACGAACATAAATTCATATTGGGTGACAAGAAAACAGTACCCAGAAAATGCCCCCCGGGGGGGGGGATGAACAATACCTGGGATTGAGAAGAAGGATTAAGAAGATACTTGAGCTTAGAGCACTGAGGGAGCTGAGAATTTTTGATGGAGCGACTGGAGGAGGAAGAGAAAGTGGCAGAGCATGAGGATGAGGAAGCTGCTGCCACAACACCTGACATGGCTAGCTGGTCTTGTGTGTGATGACGATGATGAGAGAGTTGTGTGGATGAGAATGAAGTGTTGTAGCAATTTGCAAAAGAACGCTTGAGTGAAGGAAAATAGAAGATGGTGGTTCATTTTTCACGATGGAAGATAATCTTTGATTGGTGGGGGAAGGTCAGACCTCTGTCTCCGTGCGTGCCACACGCCCTCAGCTTAAAGCCACGAACGAAGTCATTCCAAATGCCGCCGGTTCAATTATTTTAATGGGAAAACTCACAAGGTAGGACCCACACTCGAGTTCAAATATTTTGGAAAGAATGGCATTAAGGACCCTAAAAAGTAAAAATTTTATAAATAAGGCTTAATAAATTCTGAATAAAAGTTTCATTTACAATTATATTTTTTGGTGAAATGACTAATTTGATCCTCCTATAACCAACTGTTAAATAAAAATTGCTTCTTCTTCCTTCCTTGTACTTCTCTCTCTTTCTCTTTCAACATTGATACAATAACCAAATTCATTTTTCCTCCCCATCATGCTTCTTTATTCTCTCTCTTCTTCTTCCTCCTTCTTCCTTCTTTTTCTCATTTGAAGCTTTTTCATTCAACAGGTATGAGTGGGCGATTCACTTTTATCCAGATGGGTATGGAGAAGATGATCAGGTGTTCATCCGATTACATTCCTCTCATGCCAACCAACTTCTTAAAACGATTTGCCATAGTGTGGAAAGAATGGATCAAGTGCTGGATCTGCCATTATCAGTTTTATTTTGTTAAAAAAGGATATAGAGAGAGTTTAAGCCATATCAGTTTTATCTAATCATAATGTACGCGTTCACGTTCATTTAATGAAAACAAGTTGTTATTTATGGACTTTTTATTGTTTCTGATGCATTTTTTTTGCAACTGATATAAATGTTCTGGTGTAGATGTTGTTTATGAAATTTATATTGTTTTTTTATGGAGTTTACGTTGTGCAAACTTTGCAATTAACTTATGCGGATATTTATGTTTATCATATCAACAAATCTTGTATTGTAAATATATGGATATTATGTTGTTAGCAAATGGATACTTTCACGTTATATATGGACCTTTTATTCTTCATTAACTTAAGAAACTTTTTAAATGTTCAGTTTAATCACACAAATCATGTGAAATATATGGATAGTGTTGTTAATAAATGAATCTTGTCATATTATATATAGACTTTTTATTATTCATAAACTTGAGAAACTTTTTGTTAAGCCTAGCCAACTGATAAACTAGACACAATTGAACTTTTAGTTTAGAATATATGAAGATTGTGTTGTGCATGGTGGATATTGTGTTGTGTATTATTTGCTTACTTGCGCATTTTGTCAAGTCTAGCCTATTGATAAAATAAAATCTTATGGACTTTTAGTTGAGAATATATGAACCTTAACTTGTGTATAAAAGATATTGTATTGTACATTGTTTGTCAATTTGTGCATTTTTCAAGCCTAGCCTACTAATAAAGTAGAATCTTATGGACTTTTAGTTGAGAATATATGAACCTTAAGTTATGCATAGTGGATATTGTGTTGTGCATTGTTTGCTTACTTCTGCATTTTGTTAAGCCTAACCTACTGATAAAATAAAATCTTATGAACTTTTAGTTGAGAATATATGAACCTTAAGTTGTGCATAGTGGATATTGTGTTGCGCATTGTTTGCTTACTTCTGCATTTTGTCAAGCCTAGCCTACTGATAAAGTAGAATCTTATGAACTTTTAGTTGAGAATATATGAACATTAAGTTGTGCATAGTGGATATTATGTTGTGCATTGTTTGTCTATTTGTGCATTTTGTTAAGCCTAACTTACTAATAAAGTAGAATCATATGGACTTTTAGTTGAGAATATATGAACCTTAAGCTGTGCATAGAGGATATTGTGTTGTGCATTGTTTGCTTAATTCTGCATTTTGTCAAGCTTAGCTTACTGATAAAGTAAAATCTTATGAACTTTTAGTTGAGAATAAATGAACCTTATATTGTGCATAGTGAATATTGTGTTATGCATTGTTTGCCTATTTGTACATTTTGTTAAGCCTAGCCTGCTGATAAAATAGAATCGTATGGACTTTTAGTTGAGAATATATGAACCTTATATTGTGCATAGTGGATATTGTGTTATGCATTGTTTGCTTACTTGTGCATTTTATCAAGCCTAGCCTACTGATAAAGTAGAATCTTATAGACTTTTAATTAAAATAAATGAACCTTATATTGTACATAGTAGATATTGTATTATACATTGTTTACCTATTTGTACATTTTATTAAGCCTAACCTACTGATAAAGTAGAATCGTATGAATTTTTAGTTGAGAATATATGAACCTTATGTTGTGCATAGTGAATATTGTATTGTGCATTGTTTGCTTACTTCTGCATTTTGTCAAGTCTAGCCTACTGATAAAGTAGAATCTTATGGACTTTTAGTTAAGAATAAATGAACCTTATATTGTGCATAGTGAATATTGTATCATCCATTATTTGCCTAACTTCAGTATTTTGTTAAGCCTAGCATAATGATAAATTGAAATCACATGGACTTTCAGGTGAAAATATATCACAAACTTTTTTTCTTACAATTGTCTTTAACTAGCCGTCCTCTCAGGAGGCCACAAATAAGAAAGATAGAGTCTTCCAAGATAAGAAGATTTATCATTGTTTAAGATGTGGGAGAGCCGAATACAATCGCAAGACATGTAAAAATCTTAACGCAACATGAGAAGTAATTACATTGTACTTCTTTGGTGTACACAAGTAACTATAATTATGTATATGAAAGCATTTTCAAATAATATTTTTTAGGTAAGTGGGAATCACAAATATTTTTTATTTGCATATGTAGAAGCAACTATTAGATATTTTGGATATAGTGGCTAACTTTTTGTGTATATCAGACTTGAAATATTTTTGTCAAATTTTATGTGAATACTTATTTTAGTACTTAGGCTAATACCAACATGAAATTATTTATATATGATGTAATTGTCCTTTGTAATATTGAAAATACATAGACTTTCTGTTGAGCATGCATGGATATCGTTTTGTACATAGTGAATATTGTGTCATGTATGGTTTGCCTAACGTCATTTTGTTATAGCCTAAGCTAGTAAAATATTGAAAATGTATGATTTTTTTTTTGTTCAACACACGTGGATATCGTATTATACATAGTGAATATTGTGTCGTGTATCTGCTTAATCATTTTTGCTAAAGCCAAGGCTAGCAAAATACTTAAAATGTATGGACTTTCTATTAGGATGTGTGACATTGTCTTGTACATAGTGGATGTTATATCATGCATGGTCTATTTTATTGTTTTGAGAGTTCACGCAGGTTCTGAATTCAAATCAAACAAAGGGCAAAATTGTATTTTTAGTCTTAAAAAATTGGCAATAAGGGCCTTAAGGCTTGCAAAGCAATATTAGATTCATTAGGCCCAACTTGTAATAAAATTGTTTTTAAGGCCCTTAATGCCATTTCTTCAATATTTTTTATACAAATTCTTCTTGATCCAATGTTTTTTTTTTAGTTCTCTTGGCAAAAAAAATGTTTTTTTTTATTCTCTTGCTAGAGATAAATTTAAAAAATAGATTGAGGCCCACAAAAAAGTTAAAAAAATAGAGAAAGGGATTTAATATTATTAAAATTTATCATAAAAGATAAAAAAGTAAAATTAGATTAAAGGATTAAGATAAGTATAAATTACTACTATAATTATAACTTATAACTTTAGTATAAAACTTGTCAATAATATCTTCAAATTAACGTAGAGTACTGCATAAGTTACAAATTAATACTATCTTAATTTTATATTTTTATTAAATAATTATATAATTTGAGAATTAATTACATGATATTATAACTCAAAATTAATCTACACGTAAACAAATGTATTTGAAAATAGCGTTTATTTTTAACTCTACAATAATGTCCTTTCAAAAAATTGCATAAAAAATATTAAGATGCAAAACTAAAAAAATAATATCATATTTTCTAATCATATTGGGGTTAAAGTAAGACAGGATTTTTGGATTATGTCTTCTAAATAATCTCTATTCATATATAGTTTCATAAAAGATTGAATAAAAAAAATATAAACATTGTATTGAATTTTTTTTCCCAAAAAGCACCGGATCAAATTTTCTACGAACCTTAAAAGTATATTTTTTCAGAAAATTAATTCTTAAATAACTATTTATAATTTTTAGGAATTAATAGATTTGAAGAATGAAATTATAAGGCCTTAATTCAAACAAAATAATCTATAAAAACTGAATTCAAAATTGAGAAAAGAAGTAGAAATATGTGAATTAATTTTTCAATTAACAATACTTTTTAAAAGTATAAAAGGAATTTTAATATATAAACTAGTAAAGTACCCATGCATCGCACGGGTTTTATACTACAATTTTTATAATAGATCTAAAATAATAATTTATAGAGGATATTTTATCCACATATATATATATATATATATATATCATCATATACACAATGGAGCTATATAACTATAATAATTAATATTATATATATATTAAAGTAAATTAAATGGTAAAAACTAAATGCATATTGTGTAAATGAATACGATGAGATGTAAATTAATAAAATTTTATAATTATTTAAATTAAATTATTGAAGACATCCTTATAAGTAATATTAAAAGTTATATCTTTATAGTGATTATCTTCATTAAGAACTAATATTTTAGACTCTCCATGCTTTAAACATGAGACGCAACAACATATAATTGGTCATTGGTGAAAAACAAGATGAGTTATGTACAGACTAATATGACACAAGATCAAATCTTAGCTCTTATTAATCGACACTACAAAGGCTAACATAATGAAAAACTGTTTCTTTCTCATAATAAATGATAACCTTAAATCAAATAGATACATAGCAATATCTGGTATAAATACTTTCATCTTTATAATTGATCCAAACATTCATTGGGCTTTAATAACATGTTTTATAACTCATGTAACTACTACAAGACATGTACCATTATACAATCCATGAACTTATCAATGTTTTGATTCTCATTAAAGTTGG